AACGATTATAATTTAGGAAAGCGAACCGAATTGTGTCAGAAGCACAATGTCTATGGTATACAGTCAAGGCTTCTCTTACACAAAATAACGTACAAAACAGTGAAAGATATTGTTAACAAATAAGTAATTGGCATCTGGCAGTCAGTAGGAGTATTACCAGCTGATTAGAACCAAATATCTACCCGCAAAGATTCAAGCAACTGTCCCTAGAAACAGTCAGAGGTCTGTAGTGGCACTTGGTCCTAATAGACATTCAGTATTTAATACGAGAAAAACCCAACGATGAAGAGGGCGAGAAAAATGAATTGAATTAATTGTAGTTGATCGTTTGGCATGGCTCGGCCATGCAGGCGTGTGCCCTGACGCATGTTACCTTATACCTTTTGTTCACATTAAATATATTGTTCTTTCTCTAGCCTACGTTTGTTCTCTATGATGTGTTAGTAATTTTTACGATGCAGCGAGTTGATGTAGACGATGATGTGATTTCCATGTAAGATGTTATAGATTAAGCAGTCATATCATGACAAATCTACAATTATAGGATTAGGTCAATTGTTAGAGCAGTAGTAATATCATAGTACAACATAATTCTTCAGGTCAACGAATATCAACTGAACCACGTCGTAACTTTGAACTCAGTCAAACGCCACTTCGTTGTTAATGGCTTGAGAACGAGTATTTAATAAAGTTAAATCTTTAGCCAAAGTCGAATAATGAAAGTCCAGACAAAAAAGACTGAAGAGCATAAAATGTGGTTCCAAGAGATCTGAGTAAAAATCAAAATATAAGACAGCAAAAAGAAAAAAACAAATATCAATACTATTGTAGCGGTAAATAAATCCCCAAAATAAATAGCTCTAAGTTTTCGACATTGGATGCTGACCATATGTTTTAGTGGACTCATCTAGCTAAAGGCGCTCGGTCAGGCATCCGCACCAGATCACGTGTGGTAACGCTGTGCTCAACATCAATCGCAATCGCTAGCCAGATTAGATCAGAGAATTCCGATATATTGGTCATCGCCAAATATACTCTTCCGATCTCCTCGACTCTGTCTTTTGATTTCTCTGGGTGGGAACGAAATACATTAGGTGTTACTGGTAGAAGCGTTGTCAAACACTGAATACCTGTGACATCATCACTATTGAATAAAACACTGAGGAATTTTCGGCTTATCCTTTTCCTTATGAAGAGTTAATGATGACTTAGAGGAGTAGATACGTCTGCACGTACTTTCTCAGAAATTCATTATGAGTAGATATAGCATATGTCTCAAGGGTTCTTCTTCAATTCATGATGTACGCTCCAATCATAATCATCTCGACCTAATGGGACTTACTGCAGTGGGTCTAAAGATTGATAGGATCTGGTCAGCAGGGGGAGTCAGAGTGATAAGTTACACCCACTTCACTATTAAAAAATAAAGATTCTCACAGTTGGTCACGAGAATTCTATTTAACAACACCAATCTCTCCATTTTGAGGAAATTTTGGTCTGTGTAAAGGAAACTTTTGAGGAAATGGCACAAAAACCCCAATGTTTCCCAAGAATCTTGCAACACTTTAAGGAAATCCGTCTATATTTATTGAAAACCCCCAAACTATTCTCTAGTTTTGGGAAATTCCCCAAAATTTTAGGTTTTTCCAAAGAATTTCCTGCAGTTCTGAGAAAATTCATCAACATTCTGTTATCACCCCTCAATATTTTTTTCGCATTCTGGGGACATTCTGCACGATTTCGAGTTATTCACAGTTTTGCATTCGTAAAAAACTTCAATATCACTGGCGACTCAATAACATACACTCTAAAGTTGCCAAAAAATCTATTCAATTTTTTTCGCAAAGTGGACGCCGTTCCAAAGCAATCGAAACCATAGTTGATAACAAGAACAGGTTTTTCGAGATAGATAAGCATAACTGTACTTAAAAGATTAGTGCGTTATAAATGAAAATGTTTATAAAGTTCAATAAAGTTTAAATTACCCATTAATAGATAATTTCTTCTGATTCTTAACAATTTCTCATTCGTTTCTGTTGAAAACATCAGGTTGGTGTTGAACTTTCACAGTGTTCTATAAAAAACAATTATTCTTCTGCGTTACAAACACAGTAGCAAAACAGCCGAATTGCTTATGGTCGACAAACGAATGCCCAATATCAAAGCAACTATCCAGCCTAAGAATCCATGATGTCATGTGAAAGGTTGATTACGTGTCAATAGTGTAACATTGATGTTTCATGAATAAAAGATCTACAGTTAGGTCTGTTGACACTTGCGAAGTCATCTGCAAATGAGATAGATAGGAAATAATTATTTCAGTATAAATGTTTACCAGGAACTAACACAGAAACAGGAACCAGTATTTAATTACAGATCTGAAGTGCATTGTCTTCACCTTTTCATTGAATCACTATCCACGCTTATTTAGGTTATTTCGTGTAAGAAAGTCTGGCTCGATACCTCCATGGCTTGTGTTATTTGGTTCTCTGTACAGGTTGCACTTCAGAACCGTGAACACAAAACATCTATAAATGTATAAAAACCGGTACGTGAAATAACTTTGAATCGTGCTGTAGAACGTGTGGTGTCTGATACTTATTTCACTTTTAATCAAATGTGAAATATTAGCAGTTGCCAGTTCGGGATACAGCACGTAAGCTAGACACAGCTTGTTTGATTCTCGAAGACCGTCACATAGTATCTCGGACAATCTGGTCACCTGAAATTTTATAAACACTAATCACAACTTACGAACGGGTCATGAAACCTGCACTTCTTCAAAGCAACTTCGAGAGTTCGCATTTCCTCAGGTGTTTTCAATGGGAATGCGCAACTCGAAGTGTCTACGTTATCGCTGTGTCTCTCCTTAACACCCATGGATGAACATGTGATGTAAGTAGTCAGTTTGTCGATTTTGTTAGATAGTTCATTGACTGCTTTCAAATCATTTTCAATGTTTATTGTCATCATTGTACACCCGATTGCTATTATGTTCACATTTACTACAACGTAAGGCTTACTAACTTCCTTCTAAGAAGATTGAAGCGGTGATGAAAAAATATCTATTTTCGATTAACTGCTTTCTGAGCATGAATGCACTATGTACTTACTTAGCTGTAGAAAAAATGTTCCCAGTCAAAATGTTGGCAAGTCGAAGGTCGACTAGGACGTATTCAGTTCCTATTTTAGCAACCTCTAGTTCTTCAGATGTGTACAAATAGTCGTTCATTTAACGTTTGACAACCTAAACAACGAATGATTTAGGTGCGTTTATCAATTCGCCTCATCGGCTTTTCAGTTCCACACGGTAGCGTGTCCTCCCCAGGTGTAACTGTGCATTTGTAAGGGAGTAATGTATTGAGTGATGCTTCCGGTCCCTCGGCTGTATGCTAGTCATCTGGAAACAATGACCTCAAAGTGGCGACAACTTACCACAATGATGCAATACGGTGTATGGTCCGAAGGAGAAGCGACTATCAGGATCCACAGGATCTAGAATCTCCTTATTCAGTAACCATTTGTTAGGGACGACTAAAACTTGTTCTTTTCCTTGTCGTGAACCACGATGTACTGTCCAGATTGATGCTAAAAATCGATGCCATAGTGTTAGAAATTGTAAATTTACTACATTCATGAACTCAAGAGCATTTGTATTAACTTCACAGTGAACGATGCGAAAGCACTAACCAACATGCAGACCTACTACACATAACTTAATCACATTGTCTGACATAGACGAGAAATTGATAACTAGTTTCGGAACTATGTAAATCGTCAACAAGTGAGTGTAATATTACAGAGCCAGTAAGAATATGTACGAGTAAACAATTATGTGATTCTGTTTTCTACAATATCAACACTATCCTGAAGGTATCTTTACTCAGCCACAATGAATCTGTGTGATTCAAACGAATGGAGTTTCAAGGCGACTGAACAATGATCAATAGCACTGACTTCTGGACGTCGTGAACTACATCTCTTTGGAGCGAGAAATACTTTTGTCTTACAACCTGTTTGGATTGATTTTACACGTTAACCACAAGCAGTATCTATTTAGGGAATCACAGCTGGAACATTGTATTTCACGAGTTGCGAAATTCGAAAGACACTCAAGATCCGTTGGCCAGATACCATCAGCAGCAACCTACTGCGCCGAAGAACAAACTAGATTCCGACCAAAGAAAAAATTAGGAAAAGATGTTGGAAGTGGATAGGCCATAACATTGTGGAAAGTATTAAACTGCATTATAAAGTACATCCTAATTTGAAATCCTCACGGCAAGAGGAAAAGAGGCAGATCATAGAACACATTACGCCGGGAATGGGAGGCAGACATTGACATAATGGACAGTACCTGGCAAAAAGTCGAAAGGAAAGCGTTGTTGGATCGAAGCGCGTGTACATTTTTCTGTGTTCGCTACAATCTTGTAGTTTGAAAATAGTTACGAAATCCATTTTGGTTATTTTTGGCGAATAAGTGATAGTCTAGTTAAGTCGCAATTTTATATGCATTTAGGAACACTATCTTCTGCTATATAGAATGTTTCTGTAACAATTCACATAAATAAAACTGTTTCCAGACGTATAAGATGCTTAAATTGATAGTAAAAGTCAAAATCCGGAATATAACCAAACAGTTCTAATGAGTACAAGAAAAGCAGAACCGTAAAGCTGTCAAAATTCAGTGACATGTTCGGTCTAATGCAACGGTTTTCCTGAAATCCAAAAACACCCCAAAAAGCATATTGTAACAAGTTTCCGTAACGAAAAAGTGTTCGAATTCCGGATTTGTATCAAAGGTCTAGATTAACACGACTACTTGGCTTACCGCTGAAGCGTCTTTTTTATTTCTAAATTTTTCTGCATCTAGTTTTATATTTAAATGTTACGGTGATGGTTCACTCGTGAAGAAGACAGCCCATCCAATGCAAAACATACTGTCAATTCACAAACATCTTAAACTATACACTTATTCGCTTGTTAATTGAGTCATCGTACCAGTGACAGCTTTAAACTTGTGCGTTGCACTTTCAGCTTGAATTAGCTAACTTTTGCGCGGTACTTGTGAAAGTCTGACTATGTAGCGAGTTCACAATCTCGATTTCAAGATAGTCTTAACCTGATGTTTGTGTCATGGCTTATTGTTTTTGATTGCTTTCGTTACTAAATGTAAGTACATTATGTGCGTTTGCTGGGTCGTTAACTCACCATTTCTTTTGTTCTCTTTTCCAGCCCTCCTCACTCACGCTACTCTACGTGCTGTTTTAGCACACATAGTACCTTCTGGCTACACGAACCGCCACAGGCTGAGACGGATCGCAGTGCTGATGTTTACCCTGGTGTTTAATAAATATTCACACAGTACGTTTCCTGAGTTTCGAATATTTCTATATGTCTTGTGGATTTGTTAAGATTTTGTGATTTTGCTAATGCTGAATAAGAGGCTTTATTGTATTTCATGTGTATAAAGTATCCTTTGTTATTAAAGGTCACTAACATTAGTCAAAGGCTAACATCTATCCGTCTTCAGAGTCGTACACTGAACAGATGTGTAGAGAGAGACCGAATAGAGCTATTTATGAGACACTCAATCAGAATTGGCTGAGCTGTGTGTTCTTGTTGCAACTGCTATGGAGTTTAGGTACAAAAAATGAAGTTACTACAAATAAAAAGATATCACTTACTAATACTGAGAGTTAAAGTTAACGGAGTATACTAGAAAATCACTGCAGGATTTTTTGTTGCTTTTGTTATTTTCTCAGTGGATAGGCAAAACGGACAAATCCCCAAGCGGTATTACAACTAATGTTATCGGCAACATGTGGCAATTGCCCTAGTCACTCTGTAGCCGAATGTCAGAGTTAGGATTTGGTGTAGATAACTTTTTCTTAGTAAATGTGATTTGAGAGCTATGTTATCTATTTCATTATTATACAAGACAAGCCCTGAAATTGGATAATTTTGTTGTAAAAATCTCAAGGAAGAAGTCCCTTTGTCCTTGTTTTCAGTAGTTCAAATCACTATTTCAAAGTAACTAATTCCACGAATTTGGTGTTCATCTTGTTGTGCTCATGAGGTGTGGTAACTTGGACCGATGCATATATGTGCCTGGTCCTACGTTGTAGCTGACTGACTTTAGTCATAAGATAGCCCTTGAAACCACTGAGTTGTTTGATTTCTAGGACCATGTTCAGAGAGCTGTGATACATTAGTGAATGGTAATCTGACGCGACTATACATGGTGTTCGTTAACAAAGATAAGACGAGTTATTGCTAACCCGATACGTATACTTACGTGTTATCAAACTTCAATCCTTTGTTTAGATGTTTATAAAGAATATTGATTAGGATTCTGAGATCATTGTTATGTTGTGTTAGCAATTTTGACGAGGTATCAATATTTGAGATGTGTCTTACAGAATATATTGGAGAGATGTGGAATAGATTTTAAAAAATGAGATATGAGTCTAGAATACCATGTAGTAGTTAGCGTAAAGCTTGTTATGATAGGGAACAAGGAACTCTATAAGTGTCACGACGAAGATCGTATTTCTTAACAGCCATCTCTATCTGTTCGTTTATACTGAGACGTCACTGTTCCTTCCCTACTTTTATTTTTTGGTGGCGAAACCTGTCTGATATTTTTCACTTTCACCATTTGTTCAGGGGAACGTGTGAAAATCCCGCTGTGATATTATTCCATTATGACTAGCAAACATTATATTCGTACTCGAAAATACGAAAACAACCCACCCATTCCTATACCTTATTCCGTTCATAAAGCTAAGTCTCGAACATCTTATTTCTAGTCTTATAAGGATTCAGTAACAGTATATTGTGATGTTTACAGGATACCTAATGATCTGTTCTTATGCCTCAGAATTCCTTGATTTTACACAGGATTGCTGTAAATGTCAACAGCCATCAATTCTTCTGTCCCAACTCCTAATGGTGCTAAAAATGTAGTCCCAGACTCATCGCCTGCTGCAGTAAGACTTCCGTTAGCTAGTTCCGTTCGCCAAACAACTGACGCTACATCGAATCAGAAAGATTCAACTAAAGTACCCATATGTCTAATAAAACTAGTCCGGTCGATCGTTAGAACTTTCTATTCAAGAGAACATTCTCTCATCGTTGATATGCTGGTAAGAGCTGATATAGAGTTATATTGTTATTTTTAAATGATCGTATTTTAATATTTTCACTATGGTTCTCGGTCTTCATATTCATCTATTATCATATAATTTAATCTAACTATTGATTGATACCAACTACGAAATAGAAAATTACCTGTCATAAATATAAATACCAACTTGAGCCCGCAAACAAGTCAAGGTATTTCAGCTAAATCTCTTGTTATTTGAAGTCATATCATCCGTAGAGAGTTGATCAAATAGTATGAAAATTGGAGATAACCTCGAGTCTATGGAGTCTCCTTATCTCCTTTCCCCCGAAATGTTGCTCAAAATTTCGTGTTTCAACTCTACGTCAAATCACGAAGCAGGGGTTGACAGTCAGAAATCTGCAATTATGTGCCACAGGTATATGCTGTATCTCTGAACACTCCATATTAGACTCAAGTGGGATTATTCACTTGACTAGCACACTTCACCCCCAGGTATCTGGAGACCATGAAGCAACTACTTGTGGCTAGTTGATTGTAAATACGTCAAGTTAAAAGATAGGAACAACTAGATCAGGTAAACATATCGGATTCAGTATCGTCGAGAAAGTTTTGGAATTATACCGCCCCTCAGAAAAATGGGATGTGTTTCTAACAGGTGATCACCTATCAACTAATAATTTAGCAGCTCATAGTCTTGAACTCGCTCAGGAAGCCGTGAAGAGGCCCAGTAACAAGGGTCTGGATGTTAAGTTTCACCAACTAAATATAATGGATCGAGATGGTGGAAAAGCGTTCCTAAAGTTTGTAGGGAAAAACTATCCTAATGGTATTACCATTGCAGTAAATAATGCTGAAATTGCCTACAAAGTTGTTTTATTACTTTTACGTATCTCTATAGGCTAACTATCTGGTTCCATTCAGTAATCAGGCACGTAATTTTTTGAACACCAACTTTACTTCAACCATTGATTTCACGAAAGTGTTCACTTCTTTAGTAGCTGAAAATGCCAGGTACGCTATTAGGAGCAGTTAATACTCTTAAGAGTCGTCAATATTCCTGCTACTCTCTCTCCGTTTGTGTCGAAAAAGCTCAGTAATGATTTGTACAGAAAATTTGTCGACCTTATTAACCTTTCTGAGTTAAAAAAACTTATGGTAGAGTTTGTAAGGTATGGCTTTACTGAAATCAGTTCCAAATTAAAGATTATAGTTCAGTGACGCGACTGTTTTTTTATGGAATGCATGTAATGTGCCGGACCGTAGCTGCTATCGTGGCATGGCGGTCGGGCTTGCCTATTATGATGATTCAACTAAGCTATATTGTCTGAAACACATATTCCTTTAAGTCCTACCATAACGGGTAAGTCGGTTGGGGAACGTCAGGACTAAAAGCAACAACTTGGGGTCCGAGGGCAAAGTTGTACTGCTGACTGTAGAGAGGTGCGACAAGAGTAAGATATCTTCCTCGGACAACCAGCATCTGCGGCGAGGTTATGCTGGCTTCTCATAACGGAAGGAAGAGGTTAGGAAAGGTCGACCCTAGAAATGCCACACGTCACTTCACGGATCTCCGTCTCCTGAGGTAAGGCCTTTTGAAGTGCAGAGCTAGCGCATCAAAAACCTCCTAGAAAAAACTGTGCGCGACTGGCCTCAAGCAGCTGTTCCTTCTGGTCTGTGGTTACTCTCCCAGTTTCCTAGGGCAATCACTAATTCTGGTCTCTTAAGAAGAAATATTCTTCCACGGTGTGAGCAACCAGGAAGTAACAATCGCCCCTCAGCACTCGAGATCATCCTGTTGGCGATCGAATCCCTCCCTCACCTCTTAATATTTCTTCCATCCCCACAACTAACCCTTATTTATCTTTGTCATCACGCGCCACCTATGCTAATGATTTGAGTTTACGAAATTTTATTCCTGGTTTCCTGAAACCACGCTCCAAACTATATATTGGAGCTTTTGATGTTCGAACCTTGCGTCAAATTGGAGAACAGGTTTCTTCAGTTAGGATTGTAGAATCTCGCGCCATCAATTTATTCTGCATCTTTGAAACGCGCATACAGGCTACAAGCGCGGTCATTCACTTAACTTCATCTTGTCGACACAAGGAACCGGCACGACTTACTCTTTTAGCATCTGGAGACCCCACTGCTACTTCCGGGGCTTCGCTGATGCAGGTATAGCGTTAAGTTCTAAAGTAGAACAGTTTTTGTTAGACTGGATTTCAATAGATAATCGCTTGTGCTCTGTTCAACTAAACAGAACAGTAAGAACTCGAGAAGGTAGGTTCACACACCGTTGCCTTTTCGTTGTCTCTGCCTACCCTTCCACTGATTGCAGCTCGAATAAAGTTGTGGGAAGCTACCCAACCTCCCTCAAAGAGCTAAACACTCTGGTTTAGCAACAATGGCAGGTGATTTTTATGCTCAGGTAAGTAAACTCAACAAACCGAAAGGCACTTGGGCAGATTTTACGGTGTTGCGGCTCAGAGAACAAATAATGGCAACCGTCTTGCAATTATGCTCAGATAACCGTCTATTTCTGGCAAACACCAACTTTAAGCATAAGGAGAAACGTCGTCTGACGTGGCGACCTCCGTGATCGACTCAAGTAGATCACATTGCCATTAGCCATCGTTGGAGTTGCTCGATTGAAGAGTCTCATTCTGGAGCACATGTTTAGACTCGGATCATGTCCTAGTTTGAGTACGTATTTGTCTGTATCTCACTGGACGTAGAAAAGTCAGGAAGAAAACTCCTTATAGTTCAACTCAATGATGGGGAAATTAAGATTGTATTTCAGGAACCATTAGAGGAGTTGTTCAACCGTGAAAGTGGTATCCAACCTGATGTAGCTTGATGTGATATCCAAAAGCAGCGATACCTACTAGTAACCTAAACCAAAGGGTTAAGAAAAATTAGTGGATTTCGGTGGCGTCTACAGAACTGATTGATGCTTACAAACTCATCCTGTCTGGCTCTGAATCACAATTCTGAAGGCCAACACATCATAACAAAGAAAAACTGTTAAGCATCAACGATATAATTAATTATTGCATTAGCAATCAAATTAAAAAATAGTTATCAAATCATAAAAATACATAAGGAGGAAAATAAATTTTGAATAAAAAGCAAAAGTACCGTAAAAAATAATAAATAAATAAATGAGAAATGAATTTTTCTGGGTAATCATTATTAATGACATAGAAACCTTTTGATTCAACCAATCAGAGAGAGGGGATTCAGATAAATAATTTACACCCTGTAAGATGCTAATTCTAAACAAAAGAGAACGATTATTCAGAATCAACCTCCTCTTTATCACAAATTACTTTATAGGTACCTAAATTAAACAATAAATGTTTGTGAATCTTATTTATCTTATGATTATTATTAGTATCGAGCAGCAAATTTCACCTGTCAAACTGATTGGGTTATCAGGATCAGTTATATGAGAAAATAGTGGAAGCTGAATTTTAATCAAATGAAAGATATCAAAAGTAAAAACATAAAATGAGGAGAGCAGTGATGAGACTGGAGGATAAAAACACTAAATGTCTCTTGATAGTGTATTTGAACTAGAAAGGCTGAAACAATTATGATAATTGTATTTCTGTTTTCGTATTTTATGTCATGAGTACTTCAAATACTTTACAGTTTCATAAGACTCAGGTCACAGCTTGTTATTTTAGACACAAACCTCAATGTGACAAAAAATTACATAATTAATGGCAAAATAGGCTTCATTGAGTGAAGAAAGTTAATCAGATGCTTCGTCACTTGCTTCTTCATTTGGAAAAACATGCTTACTGTTTTGAATATAACAATTAGATTGCGTTTGCAGTGAGGTATCTTTCCGAAGTATATGATGTCTAAGATATAAGCTTCTATAATAATTCCACGTCGAGCTTTTGATGAGAAAAGTCTAGATGAACAATCCAGTTTCATATCTGGACATTTATATACAGACACAATATTCACCCTTCGTCAATTTCCGGGACATAGACATACTTTCCGACGTCCAACTATAGCTGTGTTCCTTGACCTTAATGACGATGTCCGACTCCATTGATTTTGGAGTTTTGTGGCAGTGTCTGTCATTGAAAGACGTACCAATAAAGTACATTGACCTTGTACATGCTCTCTACTCGAACACTGTTGGTCGAGTCAGAGCTTATGGCAAACTTATCGGTATTGGTTACTTCAAATACTGTTCATCAGGGTTGTCCGATTTCTTCATTTTTGTTTAACCTTACCATAGATATGCTTTTAAAGATAACACTTTCGTTGTCCGGCTTTTGAGGGACTGATCTTCTACCCGGAGATTCACTTGTTAACTTAGAGCAGGCAGATGATATAGTTGTATTTTGTGAAGGCGCTGAAAAAATGCAGTTTTGTGATCACCTTAAGCAATAATCCAAACATATTTGGATACGGTTCTTTCTTTACAAATGTTACTTCAGGTTTGGCTTGCGTCATCACCCAAATAAGTGTTGGGGAGTGAAGTACTTGAACTCATCGTCCGCTACACTTATCTTGGAAGTCTCATCAGTACTGATGGTCTGACAAAATCTCAACACTGATTCAGAAGGCTGGACTGGCTTTCGCCAATTCGCGTCACTTGTAACATAGGGAAGATATCTGTCTGCCAACCGAAGGACAGTTTTACCGCTCAACTGTTTGGTCCTACCAGCTTTATGGATGTGTGTTTTGGAAACAACAAGAAATCAATTCTGTGGGTTAGGAATAAAGTATTAGGTAAGGATGGAAAATCGATTGATGAGGTAATAAATCTTCACTACCTAAAGCGGTTGAGACTTGTTTACGTAAACCTAACTACCTCATACTCCGACAGGCGATGTTGTGTAGTCTAGACGTAGGTTGGAAGAAAATTAAGGACAGCCAAACCAAAACATGGCATCAGTCACAGACAATTAGACTTAGTTGTCTTAATAGGTATAGACTGCCTGTTTGGAGTCCGTGTGATTATCGTAACCGGTGGTTCTAGACTATTGATGACATTGCTCAAAATCGTTTCCAGTGGTGTAGATGCATCTGTTCTTTGTCTTCCACTGAATTCTATGGCGCTTAATTCCTTACATTTATTTTGGGGTTTTTGCACTACTGAATTATATTTTCTTTTCGAATTGTATATTTGACATCTAATCTTTCCTACTGCCCTTGATACTGTTACTACCTCTAATATTTCGGGATTTGGCCTGACAAATTTGTCTTTCTGTGCTAATGGGGTATGGTCAATTGAACCATGTACATATGTACAGGTTCTATGTTGTAACTGATTGACCGATTGCGGCTGTTTAGATTTATCGTAATGAAACACTAACATACGACGTGTTTCAAATAAAATGAAATCTTTATTGTTCACAATGTTCCCAAGCATAGCAGAAACAAAGGGTTATAGATTATCCTTTCATTTTCTACCCCATGGTAGTAACTAAGCTTGTCAACTTTATTAAACTAACTCTTTTGACTCTCTTATTATGTTCCAGTTAAACGTTGTGTTTTCGAAGTGTAGCTCGCCTAATAATTTGATATTTCTTCCTCTTTCCACAAACTGCGCAACACCTGTCTAAATTTGTTCATTATATGTATCATGTTTCTCGCGTTGTGGTTTCGGAAAATCCCGAAATTTTCACGGAACTGGCGCTTTATCTGTTCTATACCTCTTATTTGAAGTTGATCCATTTTGTATTTACACTCTTCTTGCAAGAAACTGTAAGTAGTTGACATCAAAATCAGATTATATTAAAGTCAGCCTATTATTTTAAATATTTTTATTACTTGAAGTCAATAAAATTCCTGTGATTGTCAAACGATCAAAACATCAATAAACTAGATGCCCTTGAATCAAGCTTGACTGTTGAAATATCAAACAAATGAAGGACTGAAGTCAATAACTGTGGTTGCTGTTTCTGATCTGTTTGCGTGGTTCACTGTTATGCTCAATAGTCTATTGTTTTTTCTCCCGCTGGAAGAAAAATATATACAACAAAAATTTAGACTGCTAATTATGTTACTTTTATCACATAACGATTATCATTTGTGAAAAAATTATTTAGCTTTTCTCTGACAGTTTATGTTGTTTGCTTCTACTATTCTTAGGTACGTAATACAATTATGAAAGAAGATGACCTATGTGAAAGACTTCGCTTTGAAAGGAAACAACTAAGACAGTATCTGCACACGCTAAAATGTGACCAATTTATTAAATCGAAATTACAATTGGAAACGGATGTTGATGGAAAAACAACAAAGATAACACACTATTTCATTGACTACAAAGTAAATTTTTGTTATTACTTTAGGTTTAGTTTTCAAGCGATGTGTTAACAGATGTACCAAACGAACGAGCGATTTTAGAGTTTGAACTTTGTTCCTATATCTTAATGTGCTGTATTAAATGCAAGTAAATTCATTTAGTTTACAAAATATTATGGAGTCAGACATAAGCAGTGTAGAACGTGACACGTAAATGCATTGACCCAGCTCTCCACTCCACATCAATACGGCCAGATGAAATTACCAAGATAAAAACAAGAGGAGTAGAAGTATTAATATTATTAGTTAGACTAACAAACAATTGTCCATACAGAATATAATTCGAGAAAGTGACTTCTCGAACTAAGAGTAAATACATCTGCATCATTGTGACCGGTTCTGAACTACGTTTCCCAACGTTTTCAACCATTGATCACGATGATCGAACTGACTCCAACCAGGTCGTTTGTACCTATCAACGTGATTCAGACTTACACCCATTAAGTAGATGGACTGATAAACCATCTTGCTTTGGGGTATCCTTACTATCTTCTAACGTATTTTCTTCCAGCCCGTAGTGTGCATCAAGGTATGCGGTAGCTGTGGATACTTATATATATCCTAATCACTTCATTCGACGGATATTCATAACCTCGACATTACTCAGTCGTTCCACGGTACAGTACCAGTGCTTTGAAGACATATGTGATCAAAAACATGCAATCTGTTCATATCTACTTTTAAAAGACCATATTTCATAGACGGAGTAGTACAGAACGGATTATTGTGCAGTATACTCGCCCTTTGGTTGATATATGGACATCTTGCTTACTCCATTAGTGACTTCAATTTTGGTTGACCCTATGTGGTATGTTCCATGATTGACCATATTGGTTTAAGTCCGTCTGCTTTTTGTTGTCCCATCATCTTGCTTCTTTTGCGTAACTTTGGAATTGTTTCGACTAATGATAATTGTTTTATTCTTATGCCCTGTCAATTGTCACGTGATGAGATCTCGAATAGAACACTGACCTGTCTGACCTTGCTGCTGTGCCAAACCAATGACGCATAAACCAGTACGAGAAGCCTAGAGTCAACTCTGAGATGGTAGGCTCTCACCTAACCCGGCCGGTTCAGTCCGGAACACAATCTTAGTTACCACTGTATAAACCATGTATTCCAGACATACAATTTATGTACAGACAAATCGGACCGCATCAGACCATTAAATAGAAAATAACAATTATAGAAGATTAAGCCAACATTGGCTGTGAATGTGAAATACTGTAACTAATAGGTTGGGAATAACCTAACAATAGTGAATCGTATAATACTAGTCAATAAGTTAAATAAAAGCTTATGATAAACGCAATATAAACATATATAATCTAGTAACCTAACAGTTATACAATAAATATATATATATAACAGTCCATAAATAGCTCTCAGAAGTTACCCAGAATTTAATATTCGTTAGAATATAACAATATTGTTCCCCAAAATTTAGTTTTATTCTTTTGTCCGTGTTGACTGATATGCAATGTGTAAACTTGAACAAAAAATTAACCACTCAGAATTCGGCGTTTTTCAGTCTATCATGTTATCATTTCACTGTTTTCGTCAGTAATTAATAATATCTACATCTTAAATGTTTCTGTACGAACTCTGTTAGTTATGATATTTCCCTAGTCACTATTTACTAGACAATCTACTTACTTTCATTTTTGTCTGTTTTAGTCATTCAGTAAAAATTCAGTGTTTCTAGTTGGTTTGATTTTAAGCATAATTCTTCTAATTATGTGTGCAAAATATTATCTGTTAATTCCTTCTGAAGTCGTTATTTAGCTTCATTAGTTAAGTTAAGTTGAACTGCATTCATAATTTTTTAGTCATGGTTAAATGTAATAGTGTGCTGTTCGTGGTATTAGTCTATTGAGAAATAGCCTTTATATCCTTAATACTATATCTTGTTGAACTTTACATACTTCAAGTCAGTCGAGTAATAAATAAATAAAGCAACATATATCATATGATAAGTAATAGTTTGCTTATTTTTCGTCTTTCAATTTATATCTTGGAAATTTTTTCCTTTTATCTTCAATGAAGGAAGTACTCTCTTTTATGGTCGCTCACTGCTGATCGACATTTGTTTATGCATCACAGATAAATGGTTAATAAGTTTATGGTTTATTTTTGGTTTGGTTATTTGTCATCCTCCGTCCAGACTGATCGTTATAGGCACCAAACACAAGTGATGACTGTAGCAACGGGATTTACGTATAATAAACTTCAGTTCTCACTCTTTTAGGCTTATCAATTATTATCATTATTAATGGCTATATCAGTTTGTTCATTCCCTGACAGTCATTCCGACGAAAATCACTAGTAGTTACCTGCAGCTCATTTTTATTCTTGGTGTATATTTATCGTTATCGATCTTTAGTTGTAGAAGAAAGGTGTTAGCGGGACATAGACTAGATTAAAGCATGCTCAATGCATGATTGCTTTGGTGCACGCTGATTGGCTAATTCTTATTCAATCAGCACTAGTCGATAGTTGGAGAATATTCTGGAATCTTCTTATGTAAAAACTATAAATATACTGACGTTTTTCCCTATTGTGCTTCTGACTTGCTATTTGGAATATAATCTCTTTCCTGTTCAACCGTGTTCTGTTTTGGGGACTTGTCGAGTGAATCGGTGTCCAAGAATACTAAGCAATAGGAATAGCTGGGTCATTAACCGTAAGAAGAAAGAGATTATAACAGTGGCGACGGGGAAAAACTAAAGAAAAATGGCGATTTCTTTAGAACAGTTGTGGTTAATATTAAAGCACCAGCAGAAGTTGTTAGCCTTGCAACAACAACTATTGAACACACTTTTCAGTCGACCAGAAAATAAGAAATCTGTTTATGATGCAGTAACAGACATTTCAGAAGCATATCTAGTGGAGGGTTCAAATCCCTTTATACCTGAATCAGGACGTAATATTTGTAACGTGTCCGGCTCACAGCAAGAAAATACTGTGCTGAATGCTCATAAAGTTGTGGCAATACGAAATGATCAAGAGCCAGACCCTAAGAAGAAGCATAAACGTCCTCGACATGTGAAATCAGCCGAGTCTAAATCTCTTTCTCTGGTAGCTGCTTTTCAAACAAACTATGACATTCGGAGAAAGTATGTTACCATCCAGATAAACGGCATATCAGCTCGTCTTCAAATTGACACGGCATCAGATATCACGTTAGTGTCTAGAGAAACGTATAACTTGCTGTGTAAACCGCCAATGAAGCCATCTAAGAAAACGGCTAAAAACGCATCAGGTGGTGTGCTAAAACTGGTTGGTGAATTTTCCTTCAATGGAACTAACTGTACAGGAATATGTTACCTAACAGAACGGCCGAACCTTGATCTTCTTGGTCTAGATATGCTAGACAAACTTGGAATAATGGATATACCAATTAACAGTGTTTGTAACGTATCGCGTTCATCATTGGAAACCCCATTACTTCCAAAAAAGACAGGTGAACGGTTACTAGAAAAACTGAAAAGAAAGTTTGCCTCTGTTTTTCAGAATAGCCTTGGCCACTGTACCAAGATGAAAGCTCACTTACCAGTGAAACCAGATGCCATACCTATTTTTCGCCCGAGACGTCCTGTACCATATGCTGCTCTTGAGCTAGTCGACCAGGAACTTAATCGCTTGCAGCAGGCTGGTGTAATCCGACCAGTTAACTACTCTGCATGGGCCGCACCGATTGTAGTGATTAAGAAGGGCTAATGGGACTATACGCATATGTGCCGATTTCTCGACCGGTTTAAATGCTGCATTAGATGTATATCAATATCCCTTACCAGTTCCGGAAGACCTGTTTGCCAAGCTTAATGGTGGGACATGTTTCGCGAAAATAGACTTCTCCGATGCTTATCTCCAAGTGGAAGTAGATGAAGAAAGTAGAGAGCTTCTGACCATTAACACTCATCGAGGGTTATTTCAATACACCCGTCTACCATTTGGCATCAAGACCGCACCCGCCATCTTTCAGCAAATAATGGATACGATGCTAACAGGTATACCTGGTACAGCAGCTTATCTAGATGATATCATAGTTATGGGTTCAACTGACAGTGAACTTTCTGATCGACTACACCAAGTCCTTAACCGAGTGTTGGAGTATGGTTTCCAACTACGTGAGGAAAAATGTATCTTCTTCATGCATTCGATCAAATACCTTGGTTATATATTAGATAAGAACGGTCGCCGACCAGACCCTGCCAACATCGAAGCCATTCAGAAGATGCCTGCACCAACTGATGTTTCTTCATTAAGATCCTTCTTGGGGTTAATCAGTCATTACAGCACATTCTTGCCTGAAATGCACCGAGTGAGAGGTCCCCTAAATGAATTACTATCGAAAGATAAACCTTGGCAGTGGTCAGCAGAATGTCAAGCATCTTTTGACAGAGTCAAATCAATGCTCAGCTCAAAGATTCTTTTGACGCACTTCGATCCCAGCTTGGAAATTGTTGTTGCATCTGATGCCTCTAGTCATGGAGTTGGAGCAGTGATATCTCACGTGTTTCCGGATAAGTCAGAAAAGACAATTGCCCATGCTGCTAGATCACTTACTCCAGCCAAGCGAAACTACAGCCAAATTGAAAAGGAAGCTCTTGCAATCATTTTCGCAGTCAAAAGATTTCATAAAATGCTCTATGGTCGTACATTTACTCTACTGACAGATCACAAACCTTTGATTGCAATCTTTGGTTCTAAGAAAGGAATCCCTGTCTATACGGCTAATAGACTACAGCGCTGGGCAACAATGCCCCTGAGTTATGATTTTAATATCAAGTATCAGTCGACAAATACTATCGGTCAAGCTGACGCTCTCTCCCGATTAATTGGAGTTCAACATCCTGGACCAGAGGATATAATCATTGCCTCCACAACAGTAGACCCAGAAATACGAAGTATAGTGGCAGATGCCATTCGAAACGCTCCAGTGTCGTCAGATGAAGTCAGGGAAGAAACGCTTCGAGACCCAACACTACAAGAAGTTAGAAAGTTCCACCTAGAAGGGTGGCCCTCGAAAATCTATTCCACAGACCTTCAGCAGTTTTACCAGCGAAGACTCTCTCTTTCAATCATCGATGACTGTCTGCTGTTTGCCGAACGTGTCATAATTCCAAAGAAGCTACAACCAGCAGTGCTTGAACAATTGCATGCAGGACATCCTGGAATAAATCGCATGAAAGAACTAGCACGAAGTTATGTATACTGGCCGCATTTAGACACCCAACTGGAGCAGCTATCCCGTTCGTGTACCAAATGTGCATTAGCAACAAAAGCACCGCGAAAAGCAGAGCTGCAATCATGGCCAATACCACAGTCACCGTGGCAGCGTATACATTTGGACTTTGCTGGTCCACTTCATGGACAAACTTACCTTTTGGTGGTTGATGCATATAGCAAGTGGCCAGAAATTTTTCTCATGGAATACCCGACTGCAAGCTGCACAGTCAGTAAACTACGTCAACTATTCAGTCGTTTTGGAATCCCGGAATTGATAGTTAGTGACAACGGAACACAGTTTACGTCCGAAATCTTCTCACAATTTTGTCGGCAGAACGGAATCCAGCACATCCGAACACCTCCATACCATCCCCAATCAAATGGCCAAGTGGAACGCTTTGTGAGTACATTTAAAAATGCTCTAAAAAAATCCAAAGGGGAAGGGACCACTAAAGATATCTTAGAGAGGTTCCTGTTTATTTATCGTTCTACACCGAACCCTCAGACAATTAACGGGCTCTCTCCAGCAGAAGCTCTACTTGGCAGAAAGATACGTACACATTTCGATGTCATCCGTCCTACGCCAGCTATTGAACCCCAACGAAACCTATCGATGGAGAATCAGTTTAACCGACATCATGGGGCACAAAGACGATTGTTCACGGTGGGACAAAAAGTGCTTGCTATGGACTATCGTGGGAAACATCCTACATGGACAGCTGGTCGGATCTTGAAAAAGAAGGGGAGTGTGGTTTACGAGGTGTCAGTTGGGTCGGAAGTTTGGGTACGTCATGCTAACCAATTGAAGGCAACCTCGATAGCCAGCAACAAGATTCAATATCGATTACCTCTTGATGTTCTGCTAGACACCTTTGAAATCAAAACGCCGGGAATAGACACATCAGTTTCTGTGCAAGAAAAGAGTGATACTTCTTTATTGCCTAGACTATGGACTAATCGAAAGCACAGGCCAGTCACTCGGTTGCAGTTGGACCCTAGCACCAGATCCTACGAATCTGCTCAGAGGGGAGGTGTTAGCGGGACATAGACTAGATTAAAGCATGCTCAATGCATGATTGCTTTGGTGCACGCTGATTGGCTAATTCTTATTCAATCAGTACTAGTCGATAGTTGGAGAATATTCTGGAATCTTCTTATGTAAAAACTATAAATATACTGACGTTTTTCCCTATTGTGCTTCTGACTTGCTATTTGGAATATAATCTCTTTCCTGTTCAACCGTGTTCTGTTTTGGGGACTTGTCGAGTGAATCGGTGTCCAAGAATACTAAGCAATAGGAATAGCTGGGTCATTAACCGTAAGAAGAAAGAGATTATAACAAAAGGAATGAGTACGTAATTATAATAGTGGTGTCTCTAAACCAATCGACTTATAATGATCGGAAAGCTCAATTACTTTTGAGTTTTGCTTGTACTGATAGTCTCTCGAAAACTCGTTTCAGCGAACTGTAACCACAACGACGAACAAACAGTAGGTAAATGAATACTGGCCTCGTTAGCAACCATCCGTTAATCACATCTTATTACTGCATATTACCGATCGATCGGTCGGTATTGCATCCATTAATTTAAAAATCCCAAAATGTCTTCCTTCACTTATCATCAAAGCTAATTCATAATTGCTGTGGAAATCGAAGTAGGTGTGTTGGGATATTCAGGAAAATATCCCAAAAATTATTCTGTTAAGTCTAATGCTATTCTTGGACTTGAGATGGTATCATTTTCCTATTGGTCAATATTTATTTCACGTGTCATTTTCCTACTGGTCAATACTTATTTCATGTGTCAAATGTTATTTTCTATTTTATGGTACGATGTGATCTGCTTAATTGGTATATAAACAGAGTATGCTTGAAATATAACGATTCATATATCAGAGGCTGTGAGTTGCGTTCTGGACTCAACTGGCTGGACTAGACAGGGAAGCGGGACCAATCAGAACTCTAGGCCGTTCTTACATGTTTAAGCGTCTTTGGTCCGATCGACAATTCGCTGCGCTCTAATCTGCAGTCAGTTATAAAAAGGAGATGCGGTTTTTAAACGACGACTTGTCGATTTAAGGCCAAACTCATGAATAACTAACAACCCACAAAAAATAATGCTAAGATTGTACCTCAGGTTTCAAATAAAAACGGAGGAGTGATTGATCTGGTTATAGTTCTTTACCCATGTGTGGCTACCTCGACAAGCCCTTGTGGTTGGCATAGAATTCGGTTGGGAAAAAGTAGAAGACACCCAAATCAGGATAAACTATCAGTTCACGAAATTACAACCCCCATCCTGAGAGTATATGTAGACTTCATAGTTGTTGTCCACCGAATGGTTGTGTTCTGCGGTAGGCACCGTGACTAGGAAAAATTGCGATTGCATCAATCTCGTTTTGTCCCACTGCACTTTAATTCCGATCACTCTTTCCAAATTGTATTTCTTTAATTCCTTAATCTGACGTTTTTTACCTTTCTTCGTGTTAGTTTCCTCGCTGTGTAGTTAATTGTGGGAACTTCGGGCGATGCATATTTTCTCTAGGTCCTACATTGTCGACTGACAGATGAAGTTACCGAAGCAAAGATTATAACCGTAGGAACTTTTCTTCAAGAATGATTTACATTTAGAAAACTTGGTCACCCGGAATTTCTTGACAAACATTTCAATTGTATTACCGGTTTGCGTAATAGGTCAGTTAAATTAAAGCATGCGAAATCGTCTTTAGAAATCCTATGGTTTCCTGTGAATAATCAATTAATTTAGATTTTATATATATATATATATGAAATGTGTCACTTCTCATTTATTTAGCTCTTTGTCAATGTAGTCAAGTATCGACTGGATCAAATGCAACGTCGACTAGAAGCTGAACAAAGACAGTCAACAAGTCGAGCTAGTTTCAAATGTTCTTCTTGTAATACAGCGTATACAGACTTGGAAGTGGATCGTTTAATGGATTTTACTAATCCGGGAAAACTTGTATGTGTATATTGTCGTGGGGAAGTTTGTGAAGAAGAAGATAACGCTTCACGAACAGATGCTCGTGCTTTAATCGCAAAGTTTCACCATCAGGTATGGTCCATTTTTAGTTTATATTTTCGTATTCACCGTAGACATTTAAGACAATTGTTTCCTTTGATGGATTCAGTGTAATGAAAAGACTGTTCATTGCAATATATTTTAGGCAACAGTCGAGTCGTGCAGTTCATTGTTAAGATATTTGTATGAAAATTAAGCAGGTCACATACACAAATAACGAAAACTGGTAAGGTATCGTACATTTCTTTCTTTCTCAATACTTTTCCTTCACATTACATCATTGGTGATTTTCACATACGAAAAAACCGAAGACATCTGATTTCTCAACTGTTTTGGAAGTCGTAATGACTTGATAATAGAACTCCTCTAGTGAGATGTAACTGATAACGTCCAATTTAATCGAAAAGTAGCCAATTACCTGTAAGTGACGTTAAATGGTCATCACCTTACATCTCAAATTGAAATTTAGGATTTGGAACACTGAACTCCTAATCAGAGTTATAAAGGTCGCTCTCTCGCTGTGACACCTGAATATCGTGGGTTGGGTCTCTGATCGCATAGTCGGAACACAGTGCTGAAGATGAGTGTAAAACACTTGTCCATTGCACCTTGCATTTCACCTGTTCCCAAGCTAATATCAGCCCATCCCGAAAACCACCTTCAATTAAGACATATAGTCTGTTAGGTAGTAGTTGATTTCTCTTAAATTTGCCTCAGAACAATATGAGTTCTGTAGAGAATACTTCAAGTTACAGTAAAGTTCTATTCAATTGCATGTATTTATTTGAACACATAAATACTGATACAAAGGGGTATCGAATACATATGTGCCACACAAGTCACTTGCTTTGTGTCTGGGTTGTGATACTGCCCGAATGCCCTGACCGAAGCAGGTGGTTTTCTTAGGAGGCTACATCCGGAGCCTTCGACCTAAAGGTCTGATCCACAAGGCAGTGGAGCAACGTAAAGAGATATAGTCCCATGATAGCCGGTGACCAACAATAGGTTCACATGCCATGTGTTCATTCAGGATCCTGTAGCCCATGTGCACTATTGGTTCAGAGTCAGGGTTTTCTAACTCCCTTAGGTGGGTCCTCTATATCCACCAATCCGGCTAAAGCGTTAAATATTCGCTTTCCGTCCTCTCAGTTTCGTACACAACGCCTCCACCACGAGAAGGCAGTGAGTAGGACTTCCCTGACAGTGGCTGTATACTCATGGCCATGTGAGAGCATTTCAAGAGGGAGAGCTGACTCTTTCCACTCTCGGCCGTACCAGGCAATTTGGGGGCTAATTATGTATGTATATTCAGTAAATATATGTTCTAAACGTAACTGAGACCATAATAATAAGGAAAATAGGATATGAAGTGTAGGAATAGAAATAGTTCAAATCGGTGTGTATCTATTTGTCGAGAATTAATAATGCAAAGTAGAATAGGTGTTGCTAGTAATTATAACCAAGAAAGAAGAGGTTATGTAAGGGTAATGCTATTATCGATTGATTGGGCAATCGCTCAACATGTTAGGAAATGAAGTCAAATCAATATGTGAACATCAACAGGATTAAATAAGACATATCAGAAGACGAAAAAAATGGAGAGTGATGAAAAAACTAGTAAAGATGATTTGATAAACACTTAGTTACCATGTCAGAGGTGGCTTCATCACATTTTCCTCCTGTTTATATATGTCAGGTCGTATACGTTTGTTGCTAATTGTCTTTGCAAAATGGAGTAAAATCGATGTTGGTTGCCTGCCAATTATTTGAATGCATTACCCACTATGTTAATGGCACTGGTGGTGAATTTATTCCTTTTTTGCACTAAGTTCCCAGGAACTTGTTCAGAAAATCTAGTAGAAACCTTTCCTATTTATATGCTATCGCAGGTACATGTTATTCTTGATTTGTTCAAGTACATCACTTTCATGAAATTTCTTACGAAATAATTTTCCTTATCAATTTAGTTACCTTACTGATTAATTTATAGATTGATATTTTTTAGGTTCGAGATCCGATCGATCTAATGCTTCGTGAATGTGATGAAATACACTTGTCGCCTTCAATACTCGAACCAGAAATCCGTCCTCTTGAACCTCTAAACGATGTAAGTTCATTATTTTACTCAGCTTGTACACTCTGTTTATGGAAGTTTTAGGTGTATGTAGTTTGATTATGCACTTAACCTGAATGAATATCTGTCGTGAAACGAAAATATATTTTCATATATCACTAGACACATTAAACTCGTTTCATAGTAGGTGAGTTGACATCTGAATGTATTAACTTAAAAGCAGTCAGTAAGACATTAGGCAACATCCCAATCTTCCTTTCCGAATTACATCAGCTCTACCGGATTTGCTGAAGTTAGCAGATGTTAATGGAGTTCAAATAACTAACTGAACGGTACGGAACTTTCTGCTCCTCCTAATGTCGAGAATTTCCTCTTATTGGGTTGAGAACGATTATATATATGTACTTATCTGTAACACTGATACAGGTGACTTACTCAGAATTTCGCGGACCCTCACCATTTACTGCACCAGTAGTGTATCCTAATGTATATGAAGGCATGCTGTACTGAGGTATACAGCTTCAGTCATATGCAACATAGAACCTGACAAATTTGTACATCGGCTCAATTTGTCATATTGCATTAGAACATCGAGATGAAATTATCAAGCCAAATTTCGGTCCACAATTTGTTCCTATTACGCTTCGAACCATAGCCTTTCGTAGTAGAGAGATGTAAAACTTATGGGTCTTTTCAAAGCATTTATCTCCTACTTCAAACTATAGTCATTGATATTAATTCAGTTTGCCCGTCTTCTGATTATTCATCTCTAGGAGCATTATAAGTACCGGATAATACGATAGATTAATCAGAAAAGGAAATCACGCGTTTTAGTTTCATATCAAGTCACTAACTGGTGGTGTGAACTGTACCAAGAGTAATCCAGCTACTAACATTTATTTGTTGGAGATTGCAGGTGATCGAAGTCATTTAAACTCACTCGCTTGTCATCTTTAAGCATTGAGCTTTGAAAACTCATATTCCGTTTTCTTTGTATCCATGTGCCATTTGTTGCTCGTGCTTTCTTCCGTATACTTCATTGATTGTATCATTTGTGTTTTGAATCGATAAACTAGTGTATTTGTAGTTATAGAGAGGTGAAACACTTTAAGATTAGTTGTTACTCTTGTTATTTTCTCAGTGGATAGACAAAACGGACAAATCCCTAAGCGATATTACAACTAATGTTATCGTCAACATGTTGCAATTGCCCTAGTCACTCTGTAGCCGAATGTCAGAGTTAGGATTTGGTGTAGATAACTTTTTCTTAGTAAATGTGATTTGAGAGCTATGTTATCTATTTCATTATTATACAAGACAAGCCCTGAAATTGGATAATTTTGTTGTAAAAATCTCAAGGAAGAAGTCCCTTTGTCCTTGTTTTCAGTAGTTCACATCACTATTTCAAACTCCTGACTAACCTCAGTCCTACGATAACCCTTGAGTTGTTTGATTTCTAGGACCATGTTCAGAGTGCTATGATACGTTAGTGAATGGTAATCTGACGCGACTATACAGTGTTCGTTAATAAAAACTGGAGAAGCATTGATTCCAACTTAATAAACTTACTTATTCATTACTTAATTGGGGATTGTTGTTTTTACCTTACCTGTTTTCCGGAATATATATTATATTTAAGCCTCTGAATCTTTCTCACACTTATCGTGTATTTTTAAGTTGAGTTAAGCTTTTCAAGAAATCATCTCTCATTGTCTGTTTTCATAAATATGATATAGCAACTATAAATAGTCATGAACGTTTTCAGTGTGATTTTATTATATATCTATGTGTTATTGTCTTTTTACTAAAAGTTGGCTTCTCGATTTATGATGTTCATGACCGGCTTACTAGTAGGAATACATTAATATTTATTCCCTTAAGACAGTCTACTTTGACGATTGTGTACTCATTTGTTTGTATAATGTATCCTACTATTTTTTGGTTTCTATTATTTTATTGGTTTGAATGACTTTCTTATGAGTAGGCTTCATCATAATTATTTGTTTCGCCTTTTACTTTACAGCACTTTTTAAAAAAATAATTGACTGTCATTTATATCCAAATTTTAAATTAGTTGTCTCATACCGAGTTCAGTACTATTTAGAACTTAATGGGAATATCATGTAGATCTGGAGAATACAACTGCTTCACATTTATTGTATCCGCAACTTTTTAATGTAAATCGTATTTGCCGGAATATCTTTAAATTTGATCCCTTTGGAATATTGTCCCAATAATGACCAATCTTGCTGACCATTGGAATCGGATCACTGACTAAAATCTTGTTTCGTACTTTAAAGACAGCCATGTGTGATTTTACCGATCTTAGATGGTCTGTCTGTTTTCTGTACTGTGTCTTTCGATGAGAATGTTTCGTGACTTTTATTCGGTAGTTTTAATCCTTAACACAATAAATCAACATAAGATATTTATTTCCTGAACTACAAGTTCAGACAACATTGTTCCCATCAGAATACATAATACGCTTGGACAATGTAGTAATTCTTTACACTTCGCTAGTTGGATAGTTGTTTGACTTCAACTGTCCCGACCGTAGCTGCTACCTTGACGCGGTGGTCGGGCTTGCCTATGGTGATGACCCAACCGAGCTATATTGGCTGGAATATATGTTCTTTTAGGTTCTACCATGCCAGGCAGGTCGATTGGAGGACGGTAAGACCAAAAGCAGCAACTCAAGGTCTGAGGGCGAAGTCGTACTGCTGACTGTAGAGGGGTGTGACAGCAGTAAGGTGTTTCACACGGACAACCAACATCTACAGCGATGCTGCCTTCTCACAAGGAAGGAAGTGGTTAATAAAGGTCGACCCTAAAAAGGTCACACCTCACCTTACCTCACGGATTTCTGTCTCCGGCGGTAAGGCCTTTTGAAGAACGGAGCTAACACCTTAAAAACCTTCCACAAAAAAGCCGTGCGTCTCCGAAACGCACATACAGCATCCAAGTAGCGTCATTCATTTGACCTCACCATATCAAAATACAGAACCAACTCGATTTACACTTCGTGTATCTGAAAACCCTGATGCTGCTTCCCGTGGCCTCGCTGGCGTAGGTATAGCATTGAGTCACAGAGCAGAACTAGCTCTCTTAAACTGGATCCCAGTAGACAGTCGTTTGTGCGCTGTCCGACTAAACGGAACAGTAAGAACTCGGAAAGATAGGGAGACTCTTCGTCGTCTCTGCCTACTTTCCAACTGACTGCAGCTCAGATGATGTAAAAGATGAGTTTTACAGAAAGCTTTCCGACCTTCTCCGAAAAGCTAGGCGCTCTGATGTAGTTACAGTGACTGGTGACCAAAGCTCAAGTAGGTAAACTAAGCGAAAAAGAATGATACCTGGGTGGATCTTATGGTGTCGTGGCTCAAAGAACAGATAATGGCGACCGTCTGTTGCAGTTATGCATAGATAACCGCCTGTTTCTTGCAAATACTAACTTCAAGCATAAGGAAAATCATCTTTTGACATGGTGACCCCCTAATTCGTCCCAACGTTGGACCCAAATAGATCACATCGCTACCAGCTACCAATGGAGGGGCTCGATAGAAGACTGTCGCTCATTCTGGAGCACATGCTTAGATTCAGATCATGCTCTAGAACGAGTGCGTATCTGTCTACGTCCTACTGGGCGTAGAAAAGACGCTTCAAGGAAACCTCTTAGTGTCCTACTTATTGATAACCAAGCTAAGAATACGTTTCAGGAACAACAAGAAAAACAATTAGGCAGCCATGTAGGTGATGCCCACCCCGAGGTAGTGTGGAATGATATCTGAAAAGCTGTGGAAACAGCAGTGATATCTGCTAGTAAGGTAAACCATAAGGTTAGGGAGAAACACTGGATCTCAGCAGCATCTATCGCACCAATAAATGCTCGGAAACTCATTCCACCTGACTCTGAACATAGTGAAGAGCGGAGTCAGCTTTAGCGCAAGCTGACAAGAAGTCTGCGCAATGATCGCGAACAGTGGTGGGTAGCAAAAGCAAGAGAGATGGAAAAGGCAGCGGCAATAGGTAATAGCAGACAATTGTTCAGACGTGTTAAGGAAACCGACTGTTAGCAAAACACTCTCACAGAAAGATGGATATGTTATACATTCTCAATCCAGGAGATTGGATCGATGGGCAGAACACTTTAGTGATCAGTTCAACTGGCCTTCAGCCACACTTCGGTTTCCCACGATCTCTAGTCAACCTGAATGGCAAGTTAATGTAAGTCCTCCAACTCTTTACAAAGTTGAAAAAGCTATAGGAAATCTGAAGGGTGGGAGAGCAGCAGGCCCTGACAGGTTTACCCCTGAGATTCTTAAGGATGGTGGTCCAGTATTAGCAGTGAGATTAACTGAGGTCTTAGGTAGAATCTAGGAACTGGACATAATCCCATCTGACTGGTCTCAATCACTGATTGTGCCAGTCTATAAGAAAGGACAAAAGTCCTCTTGTGACAATCACAGAGGAATCAGTTTAACTAATATAGTGTCTAAAATATTAGCTTCAATAATACTTCAACGCCTAACCAAAACTCGGGAAGAACAGACTAGAGAAAACTAGGCTGATTTTCGACTTGGGCCTGGTATAAGTCCATGAAGTCACTGACAAGTGGACTGACTCATGTTGGTAGGTGTAGACTACCTGGTTGGGATCCGCAAGACGGTAGCAACCGATGGTTAGAGACCTTGAATGACATGGCTCAAAATTGTCTGCAATGGCGCAGACGCATTCAATCTTTGTGTTCTTTCAAATTCCAATCTCCTGAATCCTCGTTGTCTCTTTTTCCTCTTTCCAAATTTATTCCACTGTATTATACTCCTTGAATAACATCTTCGAACCCTAATTTTTCTGATTACAGCTTATAATTTTACTACATCTAGCGCTACGGGATTTGAATCGGTCACTGCATCTCTGTGCTAATGTGGTATGGCAACTCGAACTGATGTACGTATGTACGAAGTTCTACGTTGTTACTGACTGACTTCAACTGGGAAGAACACAATTTTTTAACGCTAGATTGTATAGTCATTCCCATTGATTATCAAGTCTTAGCAAGTAAAGTCTCTTTTGATCGGAAGGTTATGTATAATTCTTTAATTGGAGCTATTCCGTTAGCTATATTTATTAATGGTAACTTTGCAAATTAACAATTACTGTGTAAACACTTTTTTTCATTTATCAGGATACCTCTGATGAATCTCAAAACGTCGGTAGGAACTCTATTTTGCCTGGTGATAAAAATAAAAAAAACTCGTCTCTATTCGGTCCAACTGAAAGCAGTGTTCGGATCGTGCTAAGTGGAAACTCAAGTGGATCAAACCAAGTGGTCAAAGAAAGACCTATATGGATGTCTGACAGCACCATAAGTCTCAACCCTACTCCTGGCAAGTGTTCCTCATTATTAGACTGCGTTATTTGCTTCAATACCACTTTTTGGTGGTTAATATAGTAGCAAAAACACATTTTATATTTATTTGTCATAGGAAATCAATATAGCTTTTAGTTGAATATTGAGTGAGTATATCTGATTGAATGTGCCTCATTTTGTCGCAACTCCAACTTACATTTTATTTATTATACTTATGACGAATTAATTTTGCTTCCTATACTGTTTAGGAATTGGAAATACGGATTCACAAGTGAATATATTTTCAAATGCATCCGATTTTCATTCGAACCATACTCCTGAAGACGCTATCACTCAGACTCTTGCCCCTGGGAGAGTGCCCTCTGGATTTGGTAGTAACTTATCCAATTATGTTACAGCTAGTGTTTCTCACAACAGGCTAGCGGATACTACTACCTCGGAAACTAATCTAATGACAAATACGACTGGTGGGACCAATGCAGCTTCGTCTAGTGATATTATGCAATTACTACTTGTACATGAGCGACGTGGTCTACTCACCCGGAATTCCGCTAAAAATGTTAGTGTCCCAGGTCAGTTCAATATATTAAGTACCGTAAATATATTATTTCTAACCTCGGTATTTATTAATATTACTGTTTTTTCCGCATAGGTCGCAATAATGCACATAAAACTACACTTGCCCAACCCGATCCCCTGGTTAACACGGGTAAGTTTTGGTTAGTTTAGGGATTTGCTTTTAATAAAAATTGAATGACAAAATAAAACCATTAAGTGATGAAAAAAGGAAGATAATTCAGCAAAGAAAATTTTTTTCAGATCATTTACTGAAGCTCTTGAATCGTATTCATAGTTAACTAGAATAGTGCATCATATAAAAAGTGTTCGAACGTGTTTTCAAGTATCGAGAAATCATGTAGTAGACCAAAGTGAAAATAGATTACAGATAAAATATAATTGTCAACCTAAATAATATTAAGCAACTGTGAATATATAACAGTATTGTGTCATAGATTGTCTGGAAATATAAACCATAGAAAGCGAGTTATGTTGTGATATACCTTACCGGTATATCACAACATAACTCGCTCTTTGTGTTCTCTCAAATTCTAATCTCTTGAATCCTCCTTGTCTCTTTTTCCTCTTTCCAAATTTATTTCACTGTATTATACTCCTTGAATAACATCTTCGAACCCTAATGTTTCCGATTACTGCTTATACTCTTACCACTTCTACCACTACGGGATTTGAATGGACAACAGCATCTCTGTGCTAATGTGGTATGGCAACTCGAACTGATGTACGTATGTACGAAGTTCTACGTTGTTACTGACTGACACAGAAACTAGACTAAAATCAATGCCTTATAAGTTCTTAATTCGTAATCCTCTTGAATAACTTTTTCTGACTGTAAAAGAAGATTCTGGTGAGGCGACGTGATCAAGGTTTATGAGGTGTTCAATAATCGAACTGCTGATTGATTTTAGAAATCCTTTCCACAACCAAGCATGTAGTGCTTGAAGATGGGTTTTGAGAGAGTTCGCATTGTGTTGTCGATGTAACCTGCTCCATTGGTTGATTTCTAGCACTCATTGAACTCTTTCAGGTTGTCTTTAGGTTCGGGATTTTTGTAAAAGCTTATGAAAGCACCATTCAAATATTTCTTACGTAGATATAAGCTTACGACTGTAGGCTTAGATATAGTGTTTTCTAATTGTCTACAAAACAATCAGCTAGAAGTCGGTTGAGCAGTGATTCTGTTACTATATTGATCTGTTTATAAAACTCACTATTAAATCTAAAATGAACGTTATAAGTACACCAAAGAAGCGATTCCTGCAGATAATGTTTCAAAAGACCAACATCGACATTGTTGCATTCAACATGGTTACGTACGAAACTTTGTTTTCGTAGGAGGAACATTTGTAGAGAGGGAAGTAGTAGTATCTAATGTTTCCAGTTTCGTTGTTCAGCGGTATTTTTTACGGACTCTAAAAGAAATTTCAATTCTAATAAGACGAATATTTTCTGATATAGTCTAGAAAACCCGTTAGAACCCCTATCTGGTCAAATCATCTGTAAGATCCTTATTTCTCAAATCAAGTAATTGGGGTTTGTGTTCTCTAAAGAGTAGGCCTTTAATTGTGAGGTTTGTTTGAATAATGATTGCAAGTCTCCAGGGGTAGTTTTGAATTCGGAAACTTCCCTATTAGTAGCTGTCTTGTTTTTCCCTATACATTATTATTGGGTTTATCTGACATTATAATTCAATGCAGTCAAATAAAGTATGTAATTCAGTCACGTGATTGTTTAAGACAATTTGCAAGCTCCACATTTAAAAGAAACCATGAGCACTTTACTTCTTAAACTTCAGGTTTATTGTTTTGATCTTAGAGTTCCTGGTAAGAAGTCCTGTTGAAACATGTGTTTGATGCGCGTAAGTTGGGTAAGCGACTTCATAGTCAAAAACATATGAGTCTTACATTCCTATGACAGTACTATATATACGACGGCATAGACATTATACACAGTAGTATCGAATGGATTATTGACCTCAAATGGCTGGTAGCCGGTCACTATGTGCCCAAAAAACAACCAAGGGAATCCTGATTACTATGCTCTTTATTGATAATCTTCCTTTTTTAGCAGTTAAGTGTTGAGAAACGGTAAATCCATGTCCAAACCTGGTGTAGATGTATATTTCAACTGAAAAAAAGTCATTAATATAAACTTGTTCTGAACTCCGACTGCTACCTTGGTGTACTGGTGGGGTGTCTTTCGTCACAGTCCAACAGAGGTATATCGATCGTGATGCTTCTTTGTGTTCCAGTCAAATCGCTAAAATAAGGGTTAGACCGAAGTCGGTTTGTTTGAGTTCAACGGATAAAATCATAACTTTTGCTGTAACTAAGGTGTAGTGAAAGTGGTGTTTCTTGAGAGCAGTCGACATTTGAGGCAACCAACCTCAGAAATCTGGCCCCTAGGCTCTGCATTGAAAATAATGATCGCCATTAATTTCTTCCGATAGCTCAAGGATAAATATCATACAACAGTTCGTCTATTACCTAACTCCTACCCTGGCTTCTTAATATCTCTGTTGTCACTAATATTCACCATTCTCCCTTGGCTGTGTCTTCTCTTTAATACGCACATATCGGTAAAAACGAGCTTACGAATCGTCCCTTGTATTCGATAACGTACCTTCAGACGGGATGTGGAAGCATTGTTTTGCTATTGTGTCAAAATATAAAATAAAACTAATTAGTGCATAAATAGTGTTATTGTTGTATTTTATAACTAAACCCACTAACCATAATCTGCGTCTAGATAGGTTTTAAGGCACGTTCCGAAATTGATTAGTGATGCAGATAAGCAATCTCATCCTGATATTGAAGTTCGGTAGTATTTCACTTCATCTTTTAACCTATATTCGCTTTGGCCAGACCAAAACATGGCACAAGTCCATGAAGTCACTGACAAGTGGGCTGACTCATGTTGGTAGGTGTAGACTACCTGGTTGGGGACCGCGAGATGATAGCAACCGGTGGTTAGAGACCCTGAATGACATGGCTCAAAATCGTTTGCAATGGCGCAGGTGCTTCCACTGTGTTCTCTGAGCTGGATGGTTTGGTCGTGGAGCTTTCATCGTTCTTCTGAACGACATCATCAGCACAAACTTCAGATAAAGTGAAGTGTTCGAAGAACGATGAAAGCTCCACGACCAAACCATCCAGCTCAGAGAACAAAACACCACCAAAATCATCCACCTGAGCTACAAATCTTCTCCACTGTGTTCTCCCAAATTCTAATCTTCCGAATTCTTCATGTCCCTTTTTTCCTCTTTCCAAATTTATTTCACTGTATTATACTCTTCAAATAACATCTCTGAACCCTAATGTTTCCGATTACTGCTTATACTCTTACTACCTCTACCACTACGGGATTTGAATCGGTCACTGCATCTCTGTGCTAATGTGGTATGGCAACTCGAACTGATGTACGTATGTACGAAGTTCTACGTTTATACTGACTGACTAACTATATTTGCTTTTCTCCTACTATAAGTCTACATCTTTATTGTGTATCCTCTCAAATTATTCGTGCTGGTGTTAAGTATGTGGTCTTGGGTCGATAATATTTGCCAAACATTGTGGTTGATTCGTATGAACTCAGTGTAGGGCACCAATACTTCGCCACTCAGGTGCTAGTTTACATTAACCTGCATACTATTTTCGCATAAGTGTATGATTAGTTGCCTATTATGAATGGGAATCACAATTTTCTCGTTAACCAGATCTGAGTTTGGTAGACAGAAAAATTAGGCCACATGTTACTAGTACATTTTATCTGTAGTTCATGTTCAACTAGCCACTTTCAAAAAACCAATTCCTCTTTATTTTCTAGAAAATACGTCTGTAGACCTTCACTCAAAGAAGTTCGAGGTTACTGTTGGAGGCCAGCTTATGCTTTATACAGATGTAACTCCAGCAATGGTGAAGACAATGACTAAAGAAGAGCGTGAAAACTATGTGCGCGTTGGTAAGCTCATGTTCACCAACTTAATGCTCGAATAAAACGAAAATGAGCTTGTGTAAAATATAATGTATTATACAGATTCAAAAATACACGATGCTTAACATAGTAGTTGACTCATAAATTGTAAGAGGAAACACTAATTGAATGATAATTCTGTGTAGGGTGTGTATACAAAATGTTTGATTACTTTACAAATGTATGGGCGATGTCATACAGAAAGTAAGTTAAACCATCAATTATACCATCGAGTCCGGGTCATGATGACGATAACTGCGACTGCTCATATTTCGACGTGAATGAATATATCGGTCTTCAACAGTTTGCGATGTTCGACGCGAATGCATTTCCTGATACCTATGCGGCATTATTCCTTGTCTATTACTAGATGATACAGCATGGGCTCTTTCGACAGGATCTTCATCGCTCATTATTTCATCATCTAGCTCAGGAACCAGATGTGTAGACCGGTGACTGCTTGGCATATGGCGGCGCCCTAGATGAGAGCGAGAGTGTCCATGACGTGAGATCGTCGACCCACCAACAATACCATACATTTCATCATCCATTTCGTCAGGATCATCTTCCTCTTCTACATCAATATCATGCATCATCTCATCCTCTTCATCCTCATCGTCCCGTAGGACATCTGCGGCCGCCGCAGCTGCTGCTGCCACTCCAACCGCTCCACTGCCTTTCCCACCTAGACTACCTGGACCAGTTGATCCACCACTATGTATTAGCCCTTGATCATTATCATCAATTGAAGCAGACGTATGGATGGCACTGGACGATCGTATTTGCGCCTGAAACCAAAAGTCATACAATGAGTCAGGATAAAAATTGTCAGGAAAAACTTGGTAGTCACCGAGTGACTATCAATTACTATGAGCACGACACAACGTACTCTTACCTTACTAGCTGCCTCAATTACGCGTTCCAGAGTGCGTCCAAATTCTTCCAGAAGTATTCGTTCTTGTGCTGCTGGAGGTAAGTCACGACGTTCTGCTTCATCAGCTTGCGCCAATAAACAACTAGCAGTTGCCTCGATTACTTCCCAGGTGAAGAACACATGCGGTAGGCTAAATTAGACACAAAAGGTCTCAAAACTTTACTACAATATAATCATGTAAATTGTTTATGACTCAGCGGAACAGCTGTCTTTGTTCGGTCGGTCAAATTGTTTAGACATTTGAGGCCACTATTCAGTCTAAATAATTTATTTAAAAAAACTGGGGGATATAAATAGGTTTGCTATTGATTGCTTATGATCTAATCCTTTTAAAACGAGCAAGCAACATGGTCGCCAGCGCTATTTACCCCAAAAATACATCCAAATTTCATATCACATTACAATCAAGTTATTTAAACTAGAATAGTATTAGTCTCAAGAGGGGATATTTGTCTAAGACTACATAACAAACATGTTACTGCAATAAGTCGGATCGTGACACGGGTACCAAATATGATATATATGCTTAAGTCATAACATACGTAAAATATCAACCGGAAACTTGTAGACTTCCGATGTATTCTGCCCTTATTTTATGACCACTACATTGCATAAAGACTCAATTTCAGATACTGGAACACCAGAGTGCATTAAATTTATTACTAATTCCTAAGGCTTGATTAGTACTGATACTCAAATTAGATTACAAAGTAACGCTACTTGTAATTCCGATCTTTATAGCTATCGCAACATTTGAAACACTGCCAAGTTTCCAGACTAGTATACTAACAATAAATATAACACATTCATCGTCAAAGGTAGGCTTGTGGCGACTCATTGTCTTATCAGTATTAGCGTAAACGTAAGAGAAATTGGGGACTAAAGAAGTGATACCTTCAACTAATGTCGGTCACATATTTGCACTGTTTTTCTTACAATGAGATATGCTTCTAATTACTAACTTGTCTCTTTAAGTTGTTTAATGTTGTAGCAACTTCAAATAACTGGACGTTCTTATATTTTGTTATTTTGATACGTTAGTTATGAAGATAATTGTTAGCATTACGATTGATAATTGGTCTTTATGAAGGTTAGATCTCTAAATGTTCTGTGTGATTCAATTGCTGTCATGTACAACATATCAAGTTTACACAGCGAGATCAAATTGTTAAGACAAATCAGAGTAGATTTAGTCATCTACAACGTAGTACCAGGCACATATATGCATCGGTCCAAGTTACCTTACCTCATTAGCACAAGATGAACATCAAATTTATAGCAGTTACTTCAATGGTACTAATATATAAAAGAAAGACTGTGTATAAGGGTATAGTACAGTAAGAAAGAATTGGTACGTAGAAAGATATGAAGCGAGTTTAGTCTCATAATTGACATGTTTTCGTTTGGCCACTCCCAACTTTCTTCCAACCATCCCCAACACTAGTCGGCATTGTGCGACGTGATAATCGGTGTTCAGGCATACGTAACACGTGGCCCAACCATCTCAGACGATGAAGATTCACAACCTCATCAGTTGATTGACCATCATTCCCTAATACCCTGCGTCGAACCTCACTATTACTTACCAAGTGGTCCCGGCAGCTGCCAGCAATGTTTCCATGGCGTCTGTGGTCAAATACTAGTAAATCACGAATATCTTTTACTCTTAATGGGCACGTTTCGCAGCCGTAAAGTAGAACACAACGAGCTACCGCACAGTGTACTCGTCCTTTAATTGATAGACGGATATCTCGTCTTCGCCATAGGTGACGTAAGTTGGCGAAAGCCAAACGAGCTTTTTGAATCCGTGCAGAGATTTCTTCAGACACCAACTTATCAAGGCTGATCAGACTTTCAGGACAAATAAAGTTGTCGACACGTTCGACTACTTCAATCCCTATCCTTAGTTCAGGTGTTGACGCAAGCCGATCCTGAAGCAAAAACTTGCATTTAGAGGGGGAAAAGCGCATTCCAAACATTCTGGCATTGTTGTTCAGTGCTATCGAAAGACTGCATCTTATCAGCGTCTTCACCAAACAGGACTGTCATCTGCGTATTCTAAGTCAATAAGTGGACCTTCTGGAAAGAGATCTATGCCCGAGATGACAGCGTTAAATCCAGCAGTAAGTCTGTGATAAAACTGAACAAAAATGGAGATAGTGGAGTCTTGCTGGACACCACTTGAGGCTTCAAAGTCAGATTACAGTTCGCCACAAGCTCTGAATCGACTGGTGTTCGAGTAAACAGCTCTCACAAGGTCTATGTACACCTTTTAATGACACACTGCAACAGAACCTCTCGGTTCACAGAGTCAAATGCTACTTTTAAGTCAAGAAAAACTATCATTATCGGACGTCGATAAGCATGCCTGTGTTCTAAAGTCTGACGAATGGTGAATATGTGGTCGATGCAACTACGATCAGGCCTGAAGCCGACCTGATTTTCTTGTGTTTGCAGTTCACGAGTTTTTGTTAAGCGTCCGATAATTATTGGAGCTTATGTTTTATAAACTATATTAGTCAAACTAATCCCTCCATGGTTACCACGGTTTGATTTTTATCCCTTATATATTGGGACGATCAGTGATTGCGACCAATCACGTGGGACTACATACAGTTCCCAGATTTTAGCTAAAATATTAGCCAACCTAATCGCTAAAACTGAACCACTATAATTAAAGACCTCTGGAGCCAATCCATCTAGACTAGCTGCTCTTCCTCGTTTCAGACTAGCGATAGCTCTTTTAACTCCAATTAAAGCTGAGGGGCCTACTTCAATGCTCCCTTCAGGCTGTTGAGAAATAGTGGGTAGTTGTAGAGTAGGCCAGCTGAACTCCTTAAAGTGTTCCGCCTATCGTTCTAAACGTCTGGGCTGAACAGATAAGTGTCGTGTTTTTCCGAGATCGTCTCACTTACACTTGACTTCTTAATTTCAGTTTATTTTATTAGTCTGAAAAGCTGTCTAGTGTTAGTAGAAATAGTAACAGTATCAATATTAGTAGAAATTATATTTAGATAAAAATTATGGTGAGAGTTCAGGAACCAGGTTCTACAGGAGGACAAAGAGTGAATCCGTTTTCATCATTGAAAACGACTGTGAATAAAGGTACCCACAACTTCTGGTTACGATGAACACGTAGACGCTAAATAAGTAGCCTAGAGCTACTTGCATGGCTTGGTCCAATTGTGGATGGCTTTATGGACTGATACTACGTTTTGGTTAAGTCAACCCTAGCTTTTTTCCGGCCCACTATCACATCAGACATCGCCCATCGAGGTAAAAGATAGTTAGTCATATGTAACACAACTTTGATCGATGCATATGTGTCTGGTCCTACGTTGTAGCTGACTGACTGAACACATACCTCAACCACCTGTTGAAAATTCCCTAGGAATGAGTTGAACATATCTCTTACTATTTCATACTGCTCTGAGTGGATTTGCATGAATTAATTATTCATACAATCCAAAAATCAACGAAACGATTTATTGGACGGTCCTAATTTAGTTGAGTACATTTAGCCATGAAAATAAGCCAAAATGATACTAATAACAATGAGGGAAATAGTATTCGAATTTGACAGCAAAAACTAATCTTAAGTTTGGAGTAATCAGCATATACAACCACATATGATGATATCTTGTTAACTGTATGGCCATATTATTATAATAGCGCTATGGTATTCTTATGAGATTGTGCTATATACGGAATATATATAGAATAAAATGGAGGATTTTATGAGACTGATATTACCGGCCCCATGTTTTTATGTTCTGAAGGATTCTGAACGCAGCCTGTTCTAGATCAAGTGGTTTAGTTGATTATACTGTTCACTATGACAGCGCTTAGGGTCATAAAAAGCTATTCCATCACCACGATAGTGTGCTTGAATACTAAGCATCTTTTGTTTCCACTCTAGAATTGTTTTTATTATAATACAAACTAGTAACATTGATCACAACCGGCTTAGATGTATATGGAGTATTCGTGTTTATTAAGGTTACTATTTAAATGTTATTTTTAAAATATTACGTAGTAATGAGACTTACGTTTCGGAAGGGGGTTTCACCAAATGTTTTTTGAAAGAAGATGGTTGCCTTGATCTTAAAGCTCCCATTGCAGCCAAGCGCATGAGTGAGCGCCTTTCTACGCTATCCTCTGTATTGCGGCAGCCTTGACAACGACATAGATCAGAGCAGCTTATCTTCGCTTCATAACACTCACAATAGTTTTTCAAACATCCTGAACGCTTGCAATTACAACCTTTAGTGTGCTTCCTTTCACCTTCTCCACGACCAATTTTTGGATGAAATGCTGTGGGATTACGTTCTAAAGTCATCTTAATAGCCCTCCCGCGCTCCTCTTCATAGGCTAGATTATTCATACAATTATTGCAGTTACAATTTTGACAAAGCTGTCCCTGTGCAAAGCATTCGCAATAGAGTTTTAGACAATGTGACTTTGTGCAATTACAAGGTTTGCGTGAATTTGCTAAGCTTGAGAGAACTCCACCTGTGGCGCTTAGGCCACTCACTTGTCCAGGACCCCCTGTGGGACCACCCGGAATGGAAGAAATTAAGCTAGGGTTCAAATTCATAATCGGGTTTACAAATGGAGTAAACGTTTGGTTCATTGGCGTAGCGACAAATGTACCTGTTGCACCCAGAACTAAAAAGCCAAGTAATAACGATGAAACATTCGAATCAAGATTATTAAATTGCAAACATAATTCACACCATGATCCTAGTTGAACAACAGATGCATGGTTTCGTTTAGACGAAAACCACGGATGATGTGTCTTGAATTCCCCAATTACATTTCAGTGAGCTGACAATGGTCAAATACTTCAATCCACTGTTCTAACTATTAGAGAGTACCTATAATATCACTGACAATTATTATTATTAATGCTTACTAATGTATGTTTACGGCGAATGCGATGAGACAACTGTGGTCGTCATTGGAACAGCGATATTAACTTCAATTTGATGAAGACCCTCGCACGCTTACTTTGCATAGACAAACACAACCAGAATATTCATATGGGAACCAAAACTGATGGCTTAAATAACTCGCTAGGTAAACAAATCGGTTTGTTGACGAATTTAGTGTTGAATTAATATCCATGACAGAATTAAACCTAGGCGTTTAATTCACCCGTTAAAATTCCCTCAGCTTATAATTCAAAATATTTGTTATCCAAACAACTGCCTAATTAATATGACGTTGGTGACGCATTACAAAGTTTATCTCGTGAAATGGCAAATGAATCCTACATGTAGGAATATCTACACGTTTTACTTAACAGTATATTGTCCGAGACTAAGGTGGGTTTACGTTTCTTAGGTAAATTCTACAGAACCACCATTTTTGTCACCACTACTGCGACCACTGTGCAAGGGGCACATAGTAGGCTTTAAACAGACTGGTCACAGAATATAACTAACCTCTCGAAACAGGACTTGATGTCTCTAGAAAGTTAGTGAATTCAAAGATCTTTCTAATAAGTTGATTTCAAATAAGAATCCATTCGACCAGCAACTCGCTTAAATGACATCACGATAGAAACATAAAATATCTGGAATGATGTTATTAAAGAACTCCGGAAAAACTGCCGATAGAGGAGTAACGTATCCACTGTAGCATCATAGGTAACAAAAACTACGTATATCAATCCGAACACTAGCTTATCTTACAACTTGTATACACTGCATTTTACAACTGCTTGTCTCAGTAACAAAAACTGAACATGTTGCTCATGAATGAATCGCGTATGACTAATAGCAAAATTTCCGCAGCCTACTGCGCAGAACCCAGTAGCACACAACGATTTTAACAAATAACATAAAACTAGACATACCAGATATTTCTGCAGGCTTTCTTACATATTGCACGGCCGTGTTAGTATTGATTGCCATGCCAGGAACTGTTGGGACAAACGGGCGAATGGTGGTCAAGGGTTTCAGGTTTTGCGACCTTTGTTGAATGACCGCTTGAGCGTCTGAACATGGCTGAGCCTGTAGCACTTGCACAAGTCCTGATCCACCAATAAAATTCTGCTTTGCCGGAAGTGTTAGCCTTACACTGACAGGAGGCTGGGTCATGGAACTGAAGTGCAGCAGTAAAAAGGAGGGTGAAGTGATTGGTGAGTACACATAGATGCCCTGATAGCATCGGAGATCAAGACAACAGAATACATGAGATTACTATTAAAATATGAATCTAACGTCCACTTATGAGTAACTTGAATTGCCGCGTGAACTCACAATTTGAATGTGGGTGCAGATCCGTACAATTCAAAACCAGAAAGTGAGAGTAGTGTAATCAGTTAAACAAATAGATACTCCATGATCTACAAAATGTAACTCATCTAAGAAAAGGGGAAAAAATGTAATTTTAAGAAATTCACTCACAATCCAACGATTTTCATAGCTAACAATTTTATTATTTTCTCCATAATTACAAGAACAATTAAATAATGAAAGCATCGGTTGTATACCCTAAACATATCAGATATTTGCATACTTTGACTACGAGTAATCTAATGCCCACTTCCACATAGAATCCCAAACAAATGTTTTGAAAATTTAGTTCAACTGCATCAAAAGGCTTAAATAAAAATGCGTGGCCAGTAATTTCTCTTTGCAGAATAACTCAAGAGATTGTCGAAATTTCGTCTTAACTGTTTATCTGTAATACATCTAGTATATTGAATGCCCCCTGTCATCTGTTCTCGTCGTTTCGAATAACTGCCATTATCAGATGTACTTTATCTACTCTACTCCCGAAAAATTTATCCTCTTTTTCCTCGCTTATGTTCGTATTTGATAGAATGCAACAGTACACTTCGAATTAACCCATCTTTTTAAGAAGATATGTTGTAATTATACAGCACACTAAAGTATAACACTTTGCGAAACTAAGTTCTAACGATGTTGGTTTCTTTTCTATTGTGTTCGGTGTAAAATGTGATTGATAAACGAACCCACCAATAGTAGAATGAAACGCACAGCACTACACTAACTTTTCTTGACCTTGTATGACTGTGTCCTATTTATTCACCAATCACAATTCGATGTTTATTATAAAACAATATTTGCCCTGTTGACTCATTTTTCCTACTCTCTAGCTACTGTGCGGAACGTTATTTGTGTCTCCTTTTTTCCCTGTGTTTTTAGACTGTACTTTTCTTTTGTACACCAACAGTGTTGATTTACGTTTTAGAAACAGACAAAGTTTATCGAGCCAAATTGCTTACTTGTTCTGACTTTGGCTGAACCAAGACTCTGTATTCGACAGTCTAGAGATTAGCTTAGAGTTGAATCTGTGGGAAATTGCTCCCTCAATTCGGTGTGACAAAGAGCTTGAGAAAACTATGAGCTTTTTTCTAGCTCTGCTTGTCGTTCCCTCATTAAAGTTTTTATCATGATTATTTTTTTAACTTTTTTACTGCAAAGGTATGCGCACTGCAATCTACACTTATCTAAACATCAAGAACCATCGTCCATTAACTAGACAGTAAATCGGAGTTGTCCTTAGTCATGCAAGAATGTTTTAGGGAGAAAGATATGATAATATGAGATTCAGAGCTGGTTGCAGTTCTGGCTCTCCGTAAACTGTCACTTTACGTTCAGACGATTATTGCACTATTTAGATTAGACAGGCCGAAGAGCAAGCTTCCACTACAAATTACGTTTTGAATAAAAATTGTTGAAAGAGTCTCGTTACTACAGGGAATCCCATCAAAAATGAATTCAACACCATGCATCATGGCAACCAGGTCTCACTACTCACGGGCTTCTAAAATACTCAAGTACTTCCCCAGTATTCGAACAATTTACTTGATGCAAAATGTCGACTGAGAAAAACTAAAACCGTAGATTAGTGATAGCGTTTCATGATACAGAATAACTTTGAGTAACCACAAAAGTCTGATGTCATTTTTTAAATGGTAGGTTACAATAAATCCTAGACACAACTGTGGCGTCTGTGTATACAACCTTTTAACAAAACAATAGTCTTCTCTCTCGTTAACGATGGAGCACTGCATATTTATCAACAGGATCAACTGGTCAACATTCGGCCTGTTCGTATAGATTAAGTCTTTTGTATACTGACGAGAATGGGATAAACGATCGATTGAAATCGTGCAAAGGGCTCTAATCAAAGTTGCCGGTGTATCTAAATGCTTACATAACATTCTGTAAATTAATAAATGGTTATTTCCTCTCCCACTTCAATAGACCCACCGCTAATGTAGACCTAACGGAATTTCCCATATTCCACAGCTCGCATACTTTTGATTGTGTAATCAATCCGTAAATTTCCGAAATATAGTTCAATATGGTGATAACAGCTGGGTTGATTTTTACTCACAGAATTAGCACACTTGTCTATTTATTTCTATTCAAATAATTAAGCTTCACAGACTATTGATAGCTTTCTGCCTATCTTGTTGTCATTTTTCTCCCCTTTTTTTCAATATTACTGAGATTACTGCAAATAACTGTGAAACGTTTATGCCAGTTTGAACCATAAACCTCGAATAAGCGTTGGTCAAAGTTGCAGTTCATCCGAAACGAATTATTTCTAGCTCTGTAAAGACTAAAAACCTAACATACTGCCTTGTTCACATATTTATTTAATCCAGAGCTTGAAAATCCCTGTGAAGTTTTCGCTATAAGGTTTCCCAGTGTACTGCCGCTACCTTTTTAGTAAACATAATAGTGTTGTAAGCCCTCTGTGAATCCACACTGTACATTATTGATTACGTCTGAAAAAATAGCTAGAACGCACTCTGTAAGAAACAAATATGTATAACTGTGGATCCCTAAAAGTATTTTCTTTACAACAAATTATAGAAGCGTGACTCCTTACATACCCTACAAATCGCTAACACCTACGTTCTAAAAACAAGGATATAAACTCGAGCTAGGAGCTTAGGTTAAGAAAATATTTAAACCACGCATACATTTTAAAAGCAGTGGATATATGTGAAATCAGTTAATTTAGTAGTATTTATGATAATTTATGGTGATCTAAATTATTCACCTTCTACAGTTCGACACTCTACAGAAAACAGCAGTGTAAGATATATTTATACTGATAATATAAGTTAACGAACTATAAAAACAACTGTAACAGGGGTTATTTAGATATTCATCGAACTAATCTTTTAGCTGAATTCGAATATCAGCCAATAAATCAAAACCCAGTAAATGAACACTATTTGAAAATTAGTATGCATTAATCATAAGGGATATATATGAATCGATTTCGAATGCAAGTGTCAGTGAGTAGTGGTAATGGAATGAGCACGTCTTAGCCAGGTTAGTTACGTTAAATATGGCGCTACACGCTACACTCTACTTCCTTGTTGTAACTAAAAAACGCTGAAAATCCCTCCACAATATTTCATTGGACAGTATTGCTGTTTATTTATCTCTTCTCTCTGTCTTGTATATTAACCTTGAATCAGATCTCGCTCAACTCCATCTAATATTCTTCCGTTTCCCGGTCGAACTCTTGTTTGTTAACTATTCCCTTTACTGTATAGCTTGTAAGTTTGTGTTCAAGAAACCGTTTACTGTATAGCACAGGGTGTAGCGTTTGAGGTACTTTGTACTTTTGAGATAATTTGTTCTCTTTCTCAAACCAGAACAATATAATTTGAACACAGAGATTGTGTTTTGACATAATTTACTACGAGTCACTCAAAAATGCTTTGTACACCATACAGAGGAACGTAGTCTGGTCTAATTGAATAAACGTTGGTTTGTTAGTTCTGAGTTCAGATCGGATGTTGGTATTCCAGTCGTCACTTACTTACTTACTTACTTACGCCTGTTACTCCCAATGGAGCATAGGCCGCTGACCAGCATTCTCCAACCCACTCTGTCCTGGGCCTTCTTTTCTAGTTCCATCCAATTCTTGTTCAGTTTTCTCATGTCTATCTCCATTTCTCGGCGTAATGTGTTCTTTGGTCTTCCTCTTTTCCTTTGACCTTCAGGATTCCATGTGAGGGCTTGTCTTGTGACGCAGTTGTTCCAGTCGTCACACCTGTGTTTTTTTATTAAAGTCCAAAAAAAAACTGAGAATGATCGCTTCACTGACGTAGCCTTGCTTGAAATTTGCGTCGTCTAATGAATCTTTATTCTGATGATCTTTAACCTTGTGGTCAGGCTTATTATTTATCTAGCACATTTGAAAAATGTATAAAACCCCACTGAAAAGTCCTGTATTTACTTAAAGGACTAAAAGTTATTTATTTAAATACCAGCTCCACACTGCAATGGAATTAAGTAACATCAGTTAAACCATAAAGTTTGTAGCGAGCCACTCTTGGAAATCCACTAGCTGTTTAATAATCAAGTTTTTAATGTAAGACTGCAGCCTTATCATAAACTGTTGGTTAGGACGTTTGGTATAACCTCTACCTTATATGACGCAAATGTTTGATCTGTCATTAGAGGCGGATATGGAGGGTCTAGACCTGCATAGTGAATGTTTTAGAGGGAATGATAGTAAACGCTAAAAAGTAGTTCAGTGGGACTAACTATTCAGGTACGATAAAAGGATATTGCCTTATCTAGTGTTACATTAAGAACAATAATAACTTCGGTAAATGGGAAATGTTTTAAATATTTAATAATAATAATAATTTATTCTCAAATAACAGTTTGTTACATGAGGCATGCAAGTTTACAGGCAAGATCAAATTGATACAAATGATACAATATACACTGTAGTAAATTACATAGCTGGGTTGATAATTTCTAAGATATGAATGTAGATGGTTTTAATCCGTACCACAGTTCGCGCGTTTCATGGAAGTTGCGTTGCAAATGTGCAACTGATGGTCAAGGATAGGTCCATTGAAGGTGGGAGCTTCTAAATGTCGCATCCTTATGTCCCTTTGGAATGTCGAAGGCTTTGAGGATGGTGCAGGATGAAATCTTTCGTTCCATATCTCAAACGGACTGAAAGAGGAAGCAAATAAAAGAAAGGACGAGAGGCAGAGTAGCCAATATTCATGAAGGAATGTTTAAGGTATGATTACTCAGTCTAATATTCTTTTATTAAGGTATTTGTTAAGAAAGAGCATTTTAATAGGTTAAAGAAAATAAGTGTTAACAAGGTGTGAGTGGACATACAACTGAAATTTCAGTTGAATCGCCTCCATTTAAATGGCTATTTCCCTTTTATTATCAGAGCTATTTTTTCCCCAGCTATAATAGGGTCTTGAGTAGACTTCGTATATTAGCGAATTGTTTAGTTTGCTTGTAATAGGATTACTGGGTAGGAAGTGAAACACACTCAACGTTCTAAACACGATTTAATAAGGTCTTTTGCATGGTAAATCAGCATTAAAAACCTTAAGTTCGTGACATCCCGCTAAACCATAAGTAGCCGTAATCAAACAAATTGTTCTGCCCTACAGACATGGGTGGGCTGAATTTATCTCCCCATCATCATGTTTGCTGATCAGTAACGCCACCCTCCCTCCTTTTGTTATGCTAGGCTCTCTTACGTTTGTGGTAAGTATGAATACTGCTTTAATCAAAGCCCATGGTTGGAATACACTGTCTCTACTACGTCCATGTTACAAGCAAATCAGATAGTTGAAAAGTTTATTTTATGGGTTAGTAGTATAGTATATCACACTGCTACGAAAATAACTAGTGTTTTAAAGAAGCAAGGACTAATGGAAAATCAAAAGATATGAGAGGGTATAAAATTGTAGAAAAAAAGAAAGATTTTAAGGTAAGAAAAATAAAACATTGAGAAACTCACACGACTTCGTGGCCAGATTTTGAGCTTTGTATGATCGGCCTTGGTAGATCAGCATCCATAAGATTGAGCTATCTGTCTACTTGCAGAGATTTGGGAACTCAAAGCTATGGTTAGGAGCATTAGGCCACGATTAATAAACAATGAATAATAGGAAAGGATAAGCCATAAATTCTGTGATTTGGTTATATTCATATTAGCAACAGTCGAACTTGTTATAATCTTGTTCTTTCTAGATACTAGGCGGTCCGTAATAAAGTGCCTCATTGGTGGGCGGGAGTTCAAGGAAATGTTGAAGCTCTTTGGAGTCTAGAAAAAGGGTTATTAGCTTTTTGAATCTGGTAAACGTATCGCAGTTACGGATAGGCATTGGCAGCCTGTTCCACAATAAACTATACCGTACTGTAAAAAACTTACAACGCATTTGTTTTTGATGTTTTATGGTAAGTAGTGTATATGCGTTGTTTCTAAGTCTATAGGCTGGGTGGTGGGTGATAGTCGGACAGGAGGTTAGAAAGGAGAGCCCATATATTGCTTTGTAGAGAAATATTAAATTAGTCTTCAGCTTACGGTGCCATAAAGGTTCTAAAAATAGATGCTTACATCTATCTATGTAATAGAGATTCGAGTTGCATCCTAGTAGTTGACGTGTGGAACGTCTTTGAACATCTTCTACTCTTATCTTGTTTGTGATATTCATATTAGAGAAAATAAAAGAGCAGTATTCAAGGGAGGGTCGTACACATATTTTGTAGAGAGTAAGTTTACCCTCTGTTGTGAAAAAGTTTTTCATTATAAAACCAATTAACCGTCTAGATTTAAAAATAATAGAGGAGGCATGTTCTTCAAAGTTCAGGCTTCATGTATAATTAATTTCTTATATCGTGTACTGATTTGTGTGTCTGGACTCTACTTTTATTTAAGTAAAGTTGCAGTTCATAGGGGCACTTTTCAAAATGCATGACCCCACACTTGTTGAGGTTGAAAAGTAATTGCCATTTTTCACTCCATATAGTTAAGCTATTGAGGTCCTTTTGGATCAGGGTTACTCGTCCACTTTGTAGGATCCAAACACGGTTTGGATGTTGAAGAATAGCCTTCCGGGGACTTTAGACACGCGCCCTTTCCCGTTGAAATCAAAACAAGTAATCGGGTAAATAGCGGTTCTATAATTCATCATAAATTTAAATGTAAATCGTTACCTAAACAAATATTACCACCCGGCAATTCAACCAATGATTGTTCAATCAATTAAATCTAGATTACAATAAATAAAGAAGTTGATAGAAGATGAGGAAAAATTACCAGTCACAACAAATGAACGTTATTCTATCCTGACTGAATAGATCACACACAAAAGGAGGAACAAATCAATATGGCTACCGCCAAGAACAAGTGTCAAGTAAAACAACGCAGATGCAGTTCAGGAAGAAACACAAACTTAGCGAATGTGTAATAAAAACAAAAACTATAATAAAAAATACAAGTATTAACAATTCAAATGTGAACAAAATACTACAATGTACAACTAAGGGGATCAATAGGAACAAAGTAAAAGTATATACATGGAGGGATTTTCACCAACACACAAAACCTTCAAAATGGATCTTACACATTTAGAGTCTCAGGCTTATAGTTGTATACTATTTTGAGATCATCAGCATATAAGTATGGTTTCCCGAATTTTGTGATGTTACATTTATCGTTTATATACATAAGAAACAAGAGTAGACCTAAAATGCTTCCCTTGATGACTAGTTATTGGTTTAGGTGATGAAAGACAGTCGTCGTACTTTACCATCTATTTACGTTCTGTTAAGAACGAAGCGAACCATGAGTACAGTGGGTTGTGTATTCCGAAGGACATTAGTTTGATGAGAGGCCTTTTGTGTGGGACGTTGTCAGAGTTTCTTAAAGTCTGAGAATAGGATTGATACAAGTAGTCCGTTGTCTCGTTTCAGAGTTATACCATTCAGGTAGTCTACTAGGCATGTATCGCATGATCTGAACCATGCTGGGAGGTCGAGATGAGATTATTAGTAAATAGATGTTGGACTACCGCCACCTTAACCACTTTTTCCATCACTCTAGACACCACTGAGGTTGTGTTTATGGGCCGGTAATTTTCAACGTTTGCTTCAGGTCCTATTTTAACTTGGAGAACGATATGTGTAGTTTCTCAAGCAGTGAGGTGACACGCTGTAGAGAGTGATATCGTAAATAGTTTGAGAAGCGATGCACACATATCATCACCTCCACGTTTTAGCATGCTATCTGGAATACCATCTGATCCATTAGTGTAGGAGTGCTTCAATGTACTTATTGCCTTGGAGATATTTTGCACATTGAAATTTACATTAGTGATTTCAGAGAGAGGTACTGGGATTAGTTATGAATCATTAAATGGTTTTTCGTTAGTTAATTAGAAACAAGTGTTCTTTAAATAATTCTGTGACAAGTTTGGGATCTTCGTATACTTGTTTTTCTTTAATAAATATGTTCCCTCTCGATTTAGAACGTTTAAGATTATTATGAATGTGTAAGGTGAGTGCAGAGGAGTTATTATTAAGTTGGACAGCACGTTTTTCCTGTGCGATCGTTTCTTGTGTACGTATTGCCTCTGTTCAGAAAAATATTTCTGTCAACGTTACTAAAGAGGAAAAGGCATCAAAATTGTAGAATCGAGTACAATGTCTTTGAAGTCGCCAACCGATATATACAGATCTTTAGAGAGCTTAGATCTCCAATATTCTGCAGCTGCGATTTTGTTGAGGATACTTCTGGTGTTGTGATATAATATATTGGTTAGTGTGTCGGTATTGTTCGCAGTAAAGAAAGTTCTCCAGTTAATGCTTTTTTGGTAATCGTAAAAGTTGTTCCAATCAACCTTGCCATAGCGTTTACGAAGAATTATGGTTTTACGTCTACCGTTTGTGGTTTTAATATTAAAGCTATATATGACAATGTTATGATCACTACCTTGATACTTGTTTCCAATTAACACAGTGTTGAGAGTGAGGCCACTGGTAAAGACTAAGTCCAAGATATTTGGATGTCTGGTAGGGCCCCTGAAATGCTGACTCTAGACATTCAACAAATGATTCGTAACGTTTTGGCTCCATGACTGGGAACCAACAAGTTTCGGGCATGTTGAAGTCACCATAGATAAGCTTGCCTGTTGATGTAGCTTACATTAACTTCAGAAAGGCTTTCGACAAAGTTCCTCACTACCGGCCGTTATATAAGTTAAGTAATGTTGGGGTTGGAGGAAATTTATTATTGTGGATAAAGGACTTTCTAGTTGAGCATCAACAAAGAGTACGGGTGAACCCGATGTTGTCTATTTTGGAAACTGCTTATCACAGTGCTTCAGGGTACAGTTTTAGGGCCACTGTTGTTTCTACTGTATGTAGGCGACCTTCTTAGTCTCATATCACCACAGGTTTTGTTATATGCTGACGATGTTGAGATATGGAGAGCCATCAAAAATAAAGGCGATAGTTTAGAGCTTCGGAATGACCTGGTTAAATTATCTGGGTGGTCTAAAATTCGGCAGTTACAGACAAGTGCTTCCAAGTGCATTATGATGCATGTTGGTCATCATGGTACATATACATACACAGTGGATAATAGTGAGCCACCTGTTGTCCAGACACGCAATAAATTAGGAGTCATCGTTAGCCAAGATTTAGAAATTACTGCACACTGCCGACGAAGGTTATAGATCCATATGTTCATTACGTGTGGTCTTTGGCCATGTCGATGCTAAAATTATTTTGACTTTGTATACAGTATTCGCCCGTCCTAAAAAAGGAGAACTGCATACAAACGGTCAGTCCTTACCTAAAAAGAGGCAGTGAGTTGTTGGAAAAAATCCAAAGAACCTTAAATAAGTTGATTCTCGGAATCATAAAGCCCTCTTATGATGCTGGACCGGATTGAGTAAATCCATTTCTGTTGTCATGTGGAAGAATCATGGGCAACTTAATCAGATTTTAAAGTAATTGGTGATAAATTTGCATCAGATATCCCCCACTTTATCCTTCGAAACAGAGAATTTACCAGGACACTCCGAACACGCTCAAAAGGAAATTTGAATGAACTGAAACATCAACATTTTCAGGACTAATACAGACAAACTGGCTTTCCCATTTTTAAAAAATGAAACTGGGTACATCAGATGTTGAGCATTGGACGGTCTTTTAATCAGTCATTTCCGTCTCCTCCATAACTGCGACTTATTGAAGTGTGTGTACGAAGCAAATTATGGAGTAGTTATTGCCACCGGAACAATTCGATACTCTTCGCGCAGACGTGCGAGCTTGTAAAATGTCGAATTCCTTATTCATTCGCATTTCAGGTAGCCATGATGATCCCAAGGAAACAAAAATGGACCCCTTTTGTATTGCTAATAAACTATGGACTTGCTATATCAAAAATCTCTGTTGGGGACCACTACTCCTCTCTGGAGTACTGGTCTCGTTTCTCCACTTTACAATGTCATTACTGATTCTTCGGTCAAATCTGGGTGCTCAGATGTATTGGGCAGTTGTGAAAGTCCTGACAGTTGTTCAGGTACGTCACTATATTAACTAATGGTTGTCAGATTTCTTATCTGACATATCAACAAGCCGAAGTCCGGATTCTGGGAGAGATTGTGACTCATTCCTTTCTGATTTTGTGCCAGAGGACGTTCTCGATTTCGTTGCTGACTACTCGGTAAACTTATTGTTTACTAATACTTCCTTCTAGACGCGTCGTCCAGAGGCTGATTCTGAGTTGCTATATGATGGCTGCACTGATGCAAACGCGATTCCTTACTTACCACAACCTACTGACTTCCACATGCCTCAATTGCTCGGAGAATCTCTCAACACTGGTTGTTTAAAGTCAAATTCATACACAAGTGATCTTATCTTGTCAAATGTTAGACGAAATGTTCATTCAAAACGACGTCGTGAGATTAATCGTGAGGCGTCAAAACGTTATCGACAAAGGTTGAAGCAAAAGTCATTGCAAACGCAACAAGATCTTAGCCTTGTTATTTCCGCATATGAACAATCCAAATCAGCTTACGAGAAAGCTGAGCATGCTTTTGATGTGTTAAAGAATATTGTTCTTGATCTGATTAATATTGTTCCTCGAAACTGAACCGCTTACTTCACTTTGTCCTCCCAGAAAGCCTGTACTGTCCAATATATTTCTGAGCAGTGGTATGGTATCTTTTCTAACTAAATATGTACTCTCCTGATTGCTGTGTTATGTTCGGTGGAGACATGTCTGTGTTCACTCTTTGAATGTGTAATTCTCAGATATTACCAGGGTTATTTAACTACCACATCAAGTGCTTCCTGTGTTTTCGAGTCTCAGAATATTAAAACAATGTGCAAGTGTGTCTGGCGAAGTGTCATTGTCACTTGCTTCGGCTTCAGGTTTCGAATATTCAAAAACCAATATTTTTATAACATGCAGGAGCACTAAAATACCAATAAGTGAGAAAACTAGACAAATTAAGACCAAATAGTCGAAGTTAATACCAGGTAGCAAGTACATTCTTCACTTTTACCTGCATAGTTAATTACATTTATCAGTAAAAATATGCCCTCTGAAGCCGACCGTGAGCAATAAGTAGATAGGAACACACAATTACACCACAGCGAAGTTTCGTAATAACTAAACAATGGGTGCATGCGTTTAATTAATGACACGATTAATCTTGTTGAAATATTGGATGTACGTTTCCGTACTAGGAGACTGGACATTGAAGTTCACACAGTTAGTTACTTCGCGAGTCAAAAACAATGGAGCATTAAATATGTCAACTATTTACCCTTGTCGTTTTGTTAATTATTTTGGTTACTATAACATTAACATTCATCGAATTGAATAACACACTTTATAGATTAATTATACTGTCAGGTAAAGAAACCTGACGACTATTGCACACAC